GTAATATTCATTTATGTTGTCAGTACATAATAAAATCTGGGGGGACCTTAAACACAATAGAGAGCAGTACAAATGTACATATTAAACTATTTTGCTCTTTTAATGTCTAGGGCATGTTAAAAAAATAGAAATTATGATAATGATAATGATAAGTTACAATTTTTTACAAAAACGTTTAATTTCTCAAAAATATGAAAAAATTTCTCTAGGAAAATACGCCATGTTGCTATATGTAGCTGTTTCTATAAAATAAAATAGGGTTATAAGCCATTTTTACACACAATACTTTTAACCATCAAAATGAAAAATGTAAAAGTTAAAAAAAGATACATTTGCTAAGCTAACCTGTACCTATTGACTGTACTATGTGAAGCCTACATAGTTTTTGCTTTAAACCAGGCAGACAGCATATGTAAAATAAATTGTTAAGTAAAAAAAATCATAGCATATTTAGAATTTTTGTTTCAGTTAAAATTTATTTTGTTTACAAATTAATAAAAAAGGTTTAGATTTTTTTTACGAGTATCTATGAATCCACACAATTATAAGGCTTTAACACTGTTATAAAAGTTCTGAAACTTATATATTTTCATTAAAATATTTGACAGCTTAAGCGACATTGGGTAACTTGTGTACACAACTCTTCTAAATTCTGTAAACTAAAATCTTTGATATTAATATACACCTTTAATTGAGTTTATCAAGCTTTATTAATTGTTAATCAAGCTATAAAATTAAAAATTTAACTACACATTTGATTTGATTGGTAATCAACTTTAAAATTGGTTGTTAAGCTTTAAAATTGGTAGTCAAGCCTTATTATTGGTAGTCAAGTTTAAAGATTTAAAATCAAGCTTGATAATTAATAATCAATTGCTTTATGATTGTTAGTCAAGTTTTATAATCCATGGCTATGAGATTGCTAATATATCTTTATGCTTGCAGATGTCTTTAGTTACAAACATTAAATATAGTACAAGTAACAATCTATGATGGCGTCAAACCTTATAGAAATCCAACGTATAGCAACATTTAATTTAATTTTTCAAAAATATAAAAAAAATGTTCTCCCGGAAAATACGCCATGTTGCTATACGTAGCGGGTCCATAAGTTTGATTTCTATAAGGTTTGACGCCTGAATAAATGATGTATTTATAGATTCCAATATTTTGAATTATAGATTTCTTGTCACAATTCAGAGTACTAAACCTGACTTATTGTTTACATTAGAAATGCAAAAGGCTGAATAGTACCAACCGATTTTAAGCATAAAAATAAACTTTTTTATACTTTTCAAAACAGTGTCCACTTTTTTATAATGGAGATAACAATTTGAAAAGAATTACTGTTTCCTTGTATAGTTATCATTTTCTTTACTTATCCTGCCAAGGGTTGATTTTACATTAAAAAAAACTCAATTAAAACTTTATTTTGGAATCGGAAACACTAAAAGAGAATAATAAGAAATACTAACATTAAGATATTTGTATCTTATAATTACTATTATTCACTTAAATCTCGCACATTCTATAAATAAAAACGATTTAAAGAAATGCTCTTTGAGTCTTTTCAAGATTTTTATAAAAACTTAAATAATATTGATGCTAATTAAAATACACAGGAAATCTTAACTATCTTAACTAATCTTAAATATCTGGATCAAAGGGCTGTCCGTAACTCGTCCAATTGCAGGATTAAATAAATTCATTTTAAATACTCCATGGCTGGATCCCAGCACGCAGAGGCCGAATTTTAAGTATTTAAACCGCGTCGCTAAACCGCCAAAAACTGCTTCCAATTAACCCTATTCCCGCTGGGGGGGGGTCAATTTGACCCCCCCTGTAGTTTTTTTTACATAACTCAAAAAGTATTGGTTTGAGGCTGTTGAAATTTTCTGACTTTTCTTACATACCCAAAGCCCTCCCTTTAGGCCTAAAACCGGGCTTTAATACTAACTGCCTGAGTCCTCAGGCAAACTGCCTGAATGAATGCTTTTGCCTGTATGCCTTTAAACAGGGTTAACTAAAATCTTGATCGTAATGTTGAAAAGGTGCCTCTCATCTGGACGGAACTCCTGAGGAGCTTAGAGAAATTTTTCATCCTCATTGGGGGAAATTTCCTCCACAGGTCAATTTATAATTTACTGAATTCTCTTAATTTGTAATTAAGTTTTTTCTAACGCAATGTTTTTTCTTTGAAATTATACTTTTATCTGAATTAGTGCTTAATTACTGAATTCAATATTTAAATAAAAAATGGTTTCCAAAGAATTAAAAAAAGGTAGGTTAATCAATTCTATATAAAGTGATAACCAAAAAACAACAGTATAGCAATACTTACAAGTGTATTTGATGTTGTTACAAAGCAAATATTTTTATTAGACAATTATTAAATTACTAATTTAGTAAAATGGATCTGTTTAAACTTCACAATTTTTTGTCTCGTACTTATCGGATCCAAACACTTTTTAGAATTAAATAATTCCATTTCGATATTTTAGTAAAAATTGGTTTTTAAAAGAAATATAGTTAAATCCATCCAAATTAATTTAAATCCAACAGATGTTGCAAAACCAGATAATCTGAATAATTATAATTGCAGCATCCACTATTTGGACACATGGCGGGGATTGCCTATGTGTTTCTCTGGTTCATGAGTTTTATCGGAAATGGTCTGGTTATCTACATCTTTCTCAAGGTAGACATTTTATTTTAAGCTTCTTGCGATCTTTAGTTTTTCTTTTTTTGGGGCAAAGTTGCTTTTAATCCTTTAATTAAAATATGTATTATCATACACATTTTAGTTTAAATTCTACCTAGTTAATGCAAAAACATCGAAATAGGATTTAAAAAAATGCTATAAATATTTTTTGAACCAATCTTTTTGCGACTTTGCAATCAGTATTTATGAATACCACGCAAATACTAAAATTACCACAAATATTTAATTATTGAACGAAGGACATTAATGTTTTGAAGCTGCAACTTTTAACGGGTTGATTTTTACTTAAAATAGCTGTGCCTAGGATAGGCTCAAACCCTTCAGATCAGTCGGCTCCAAAAAAAGAAAATACTTATTTTTATTTTTGCTAAACTGAACTAATCTTTTTGTAACTCTCAACTTTTTATTTAGACTAAAAGTCTGCGTACTCCAACAAATATGTTTGTTGTGAATCTAGCAATATCTGATCTATGCATGATGACAAGCATGGTAAGCAGTAAATATGTTTGTTGTGAATCTAGCAGCATCTGATCTATGCATGATGACAAGCATGGTAAGCAGTAAATATGTTTGTTGTGACTCTAGCAATATCTGATCTATGCATGATGACAAGCATGGTAAGCAGTAAATATGTTTGTTGTGAATCTAGCTATATCTGATCTATGCATGATGTAAGCATGGTAAGCAGTAAATATGTTTGTTGTGAATCTAGCAATATCTGATCTATGCATGATGACAAGCATGGTAAGTAGTAAATATGTTCGTTGTGAATCTAGCTATATCTAATCTATGTATGATGACAAGCAGTAAATATGTTTGTTGTGAATCTAGCTATATCTGATCTATGCATGATGACAAGCATGGTAAGCAGTAAATCAATATTAATTATTTAATTATTAATTATTTGATAAAAAAAGCAAATTTTTAAAAATGATTTTCAAAATCAAAACTTAAATATCCCGTGTTAACATCGATTGTTCTAAAATCTAACTATTCTAAGATCAGTTCGGCTTATTGTTCAATTCTTTAAAGGAACTGATAACTACTCTCAAACTCTCATTATCTTTGCAACCTGATGTCGGAGACCTTTCGTTTTTTAAATTATGAATATCTAGATCACATAGTCAAAGTTTTGAATACCAAAAGATTACATCATCAAGTTGCAAATTTCCTATGTATTTCCAGTTATATTCAACTATTTCATATTAATTTAAGGAATTCCAGTTATATTCAACTATTTCCTATTAATTTAGGGTTTTCCAGTTATATTCAACTATTTCCTATTAATTTAGGGAATTCCAGTTATATTCAACTATTTTCTGTTGATTTAAGGAATTCCAGTTATATCTAACCATTTCCTGTTGATTTAGGGAATTCCAGTTATATTCAACTATTTCCTGTTAATTTAAGGAATTCCAGTTATATTCAACCAATTCCTATTGATTTAGGGTATTCCAGTTATATTCATCTATTTCATACTAATTTAAGGAATTCCAGTTATAATCAACTATTTCCTCTTAATTTAGGGAATTCCAGTTATATTCAACTATTTCCTGTTAATTTCAGAAATTCAGTTAAATTCAACCATTTCTGTTGATTTACGGAATTCCAGTTATATTCAACTATTTCCTGTTGATTTAGGGAATTCCAGTTATATTCAAGCATTTCCTGTTGATTTAGGGAATTCCAGTTATATTCAACTATTTCCTTTTAATTTAAGTAATTCCAGTTATATTCAACTATTTCCTGTTGATTTAGGGAGTTCCAGTTATATTCAAGCATTTCCTGTTGATTTAGGGAATTCCAGTTATATTCAACTATTTCCTTTTAATTTAAGTAATTCCAGTTATATTCAACTATTTCCTGTTGATTTAGGGAGTTCCAGTTATATTCAACTATTTCCTCTTAATTTAGGGAATTCCAGTTATATTTAACTATTTCCTGTTGATTTAGGGAGTTCCAGTTATATTTAACCATTTACTGTTGATTTAGGGAGTTCCAGTTATATTAAACTATTTCCTATTAATTTAGGGAGTTCCAGTTATATTCAACCAGTTTGTTGAGAGATATTGGGCCTGGGGAATCCTAGGTAAGCTCGTTTTTACAAAATGAATGAAAAAATCGAAAATTCTTATTTTTATAAACTGTTAGTTCATCGTCAAAAAATTCGAACAATTTACTACCAATTAATTTAGGTATTTTTGTTTTACTTTTATGAATGAATTTCTTTCAAGTTACTTATTGATTTACTTAATATCTTTAATTATGAAAATGAATTTATCTTTAGAATAAAAAGGGGTTTTAAGTTTTGTTTAAATAAGTAACTGAAACCAGTCATGGAAATAAAACATCCTGAAGTTTAAAAGAGAATTATGAATATAAATTTAATTTTCAATTTTTATCAAGAAATATTTCTGTTAATAATGTTTGGTACAAGGTTGTAAGATCTACGGGTGTCTGGGAGCCATCTTTGGAACCTGTTCTATCATGACAATGGTTGTGATCGGCTATGATCGATACAATGTTATCGTTAAAGGGTTTTCGGGCGTGAAAATCAGCGCTGGAAAGGTATTTTTTGATAATTCTGTTTTAACCATTTTTAATCGTGTTATAAATTTCATTTTTTTTAAAACGTTTAAAAATGGCATTTTTAACCTGAACTCACCTTTCCGAAATGTATATTTTTTTAACTGATTTTTTCCTTAATTTATGTGGAAGTTAAATTTAACGTTTTTGAAGAAAGTCTTCACTGCGTTACTTACATGACTGTTTCAAAACGGAACACTTTGACCCTTTATTTGATTTCCGATGTGAAAGACTTAGTCGTGGTAAGCAGATGAATTGTTTAAACTTCCTTCATTGTCTCTGCAGAATAAATCTGTCGTTCAAGAACCACAATTTAAAATGATCAATTATCAGGTTAGAAAACTAGTCTAAATCATAGACAAAGGTATAAAGGGTAATATTGTTAATCTGACGTGAACCTCTTGAACTGGAGGGTGAGTAACGTGAACCTCTTGAACTGGAGGGTGAGTAACGTGAACCTCTTAAACTGGAGGGTGAGTAACATGAACCTCTTGAACTGGAGGGTAAGTAACTTGAACTTCTTGAACTGGAGGTTGAGTAACGTGAACCTCTTGAACGGGAGGGTGAGTAACGTGAACCTCTTGAACTGGAGGTTGAGTAACGTGAACCTCTTGAACTGGAGGGTGAGTAACGTGAACCTCTTGAACTGGAGGGTAAGTAACGTGAACCTCTTAAACTGGAGGTTGAGTAACTGAACCTCTTGAACGGGAGGGTGAGTAACGTGAACCTCTTGAACTGGAGGGTGGGTAACGTGAACATCTTGAACTGGAGGGTGAGTAACGTGAACCTCTTGAACTGGAGGGTGAGCAACGTGAACCTCTTGAACTGGAGGGTGAGTAACGTGAACCTCTTGAACTGGAGGGTAAGTAACGTGAACCTCTTGAACTGGAGGGTGAGTAACGTGAACCTCTTGAACTGGAGGGTGAGTAACGTGAACCTCTTGAACTGGAGGGTGAGTAACGTGAACCTCTTGAACTGGAGGGTGAGTAACGTGAGCCTCTTGAACTGGAGGGTGAGAACTTCAATAGTACCTGTAAGATATGATCCTCACCAAAATGTTTAGGCTGCTGCTATTATAACCCTGCTATGGACATATTGTATTGTTGTCTGCTGTCCTCCATTTATTGGCTGGGGAGGATATGCTGCTGAGGGACTTCTGTTGACCTGCAGCTATGATTATCTTACAGAGGTCAAAACAATTCTTAATTCTTAAATTCTTTCATGTATACAACTCAAAAACTGATAATTCATTGCTTCAAATTATTATTTGATGACACTTAAAAAATTAGAAATTAAAATTTTGACAACTTTTTATTTTTCAGAACATTTTCATCCCGATTTCATATTTTTTTATGTAAAATAGTTCAATAGAATGTTAGACTCAGTCTAATAAGTATAAAATACGGCAACTGTACAATGTAGATTTACTGAATAAGTTAATTTTAAAGCTACTAGTAAACTATTTGATAAATGACACCATCTAATACACATATCATCTGTCTATTCTCCAGTTTAATAAATCTCATTATTTATCATATTTTAGAATTGGAACATCAAAAGTTTTTTTCTGTATGCTCTCATATTTAATTACATCTTTCCTCTTCTCCTCATCTCAGTATTTTATGCCCAGGTTAGTTTAATAAGAAAATCCTGGTTAAAAGTCAGTATAAGCCTTAACTTTCGAACCCATTTTTAACCATTCAAGGAATATTTATCCTGTTTGACAATTTCTACTTGTTAGACTACAATGCAGTATGTACTACCTGCTGCCGGTTTAAATTTGAACCACCGATTCAAAGTTGAAGATTTGAATCGGTGGTTCAAATTTGAACCGACGGTAGGCTGTTTAGCGACCCTGCAAATTCATTAAATTCGGTTTCTGGAAAAACTTTGTTTAGATTGTAAAAGCAGTTGTATCCCATGAAGCAGCATTGAAAGCTCAGGCTAAGAAGATGAATGTAGAATCTCTGAGATCTGGAGATCAGAGTGGGGAGAGTGCTGAGATGAAGATCGCTAAGGTATTAATCGCAACGCACAAACATACTGATCTGAGTTTATCAACAATTATGAAACTACTCGATCCAATCGGATAGAGAGAAGTAATAAAACTAAATAGACTACCAGATGTGGCTTACGGGGGGATGGGGTGACGCCCCCCTTGGAAAAAATTAGGGGCGCATGAAGAGATATTGCACCTTGTATGATAAACTAAATACAAATTCAATTATTCCTCCCTCTGGAAAATTTCGTAAGCCTCCCGGTCCTTGAAGACTATGCTGAACTTTGCTTTTGTTCTCCGGTTCAAGTTCAAGAGAAGAGGTTTTACTTAGTCTATGTAGCTAGTTCAACTCTTTCTGGCTTAGTAAATTGGTCTCTAGGACCGGATTCATTGAATTGGAAAGGTGGCTGAACTACATACCGCCGGTTCATATCCTAAATTGCACCAATTCTTTATTTGAATCCTTATGAGTATTTGAACCATCGGTCATAACTTAACAACATTCGTAACTAATTAAATCTGATCTCTGGTATAGTATTCTTTATGTTAAGGTTGCTATAACCAATGTTATGCTCTGGTTTAGTATTCTTTATGTTAAGGTTGCTATAACCAATGTTATGCTCTGGTTTAGTATTCTTTATGTTAAGGTTGCTATAACCAATGTTATGCTCTGGTTTATAATCTGGACTCCGTATGCAGTGATCACCTCTATTGCATGTTTTGGAAACCCAATGCTTGTTTCACCACTCGTCTCTCAACTGCCAGCTTTTCTAGGTTAGCGGGTATTTATCACTTCAAACCCTTTTTATCCTTATATCTTTACAATCTGATGCCGTAGACTTTTAAGTAGAGTTTCCAATCGGAATCCCGTTGCGCGGAATTGCGCACAACTGTTTTTGAATTGCGTGGAATTGTGCGGAATTACGTGGAATTACAGGGAACGCAATTGTGCGCAAGTAAAATCCACTTACGTTGGAACCCCTACTTTAAAAATATTTCAAACTATGAATCCAGAGATGGAATTTAAAGAATTTGAGCCGCGGTTTAAATCCGCCAAAATCCGCCAAAACCCGGTTTAAATATAGGGATAAGAAACTCAAAATAAATGAGGAAGTTAAGTAGGGTCGCCGATGAGGTCAAACTTTATAAATCCACCATTTATAAAATTAAGGGGGGGGGGAGGTATTTTGTAAACATTGAGAATTGTTTAGAATTAGTACGTCACAAAATTGATGTGTTGATGTATTTTGAATTAAGGATGAAAAATATTATTCATTGATTTGGATAATATCATCCATTTCCTTGATTTTCTTATATGGAAATATTTTCTGAAAAATACTTTTTTAGTAATATTGTTTTATTTTAGCAAAAGTTGGTTCAAGTTTGAACCCAATGGTGTACGCCATATCTCATCCTAAATACAGAGAAGCATTGGCGAATGAGATACCCTGTCTTGGCATAGGAATGATAATACAATGGAAACAGAAGTTAAAGATTTAACTTTACCCTCAGTGTAGCTAATTAATTTGCTGAAGATAAAGGACCTAATTCAATTGTTGAGTAGCATATGTCCGATTTACAATGGTACCATATCCTTATTAAGGATTATCGGATGAAAGATAACAGAGATATTATTATTTTCTTGCTAAAAATTGAGTTGTTGAAAGTCTAAGTCATCGATGAGTTTAACTCGAGTTACCCAGCACTTATTAAGAATATCTAAGTGATCGCTGATCAGACAAAGGTTTGAAAGGTACCGCTACGAATCGGCCATGCCACTCGATTAATGGGAGATCACTTTAAATACGTTTAATGTCACTTGAATAGATCAATGATTCAATAATTAAACGGAATAACATTAATAATTAAACGCAATGCCATTAATAATTACACGCAATGACATTAATAATTACACGCAATGCCATTAATAATTACACGCAATGACAACATAATTACACGCAATGGCATTAATAATTACACGCAATGACATTAATAATTACACGCAATGACATTAATAATTACACGCAATGACATTAATAATTACACACAATGACACTAATAATTACATGCAATGACATTAATAATTACACACAATGACATTAATAATTACACACAATGACATTAATAATTACACACAATATCTATATAATTACACGCAATGACATTAATAATTACACGCAATGATATAATAATTACTCACAATGACATTATTATCATCAATCGTCTGTACAGGAGAAGCAAGGAAAAATGATGGCGCTGAAACTGTTGTAGTTTCTACAAAAGAAAATGCGTAAATTTCCAACAAAAACCTAAGATAAAGATCATAATCTGATGCCTGTAGTATTAACGTAAACCACATATGTATTAAATAAAAAACCCAAATAAAAGATATTATAATAAAACATTGAATTTATTTAAAAGTCTGGATAGGATAAGCATATAGATACGACGGCACTGACTTTTATTCTTGTTTCTTAGATTCTAGATACCCATGACGATGGAGATTACACATTTAAAGGGAGTGTCTGGCTAGACATAGTAGTTGAGCTGAGAATACAGTGTTGCAGAGAAAATCATTTGAGACCTTAATACCTTTGTACAGTGTATAATTGCTATTTGCTAAACTCAAAAAACTCAAAGTTGAGTGTGTTGACTTATTTAGAAAAAGGTTAATTTCCGGGCAAAGGTGGGTTCCCAAACAAGTATCAATATAAGCAGTCGCATTCAAAATACAAGGGCGTATACAGAAATAAATCTGTTGGGAGGCTAAATATGCGCGAAGCGGAATTTTTTTTTTTGCTCTCCCCCTTAGAAGCTCCTCAGGGGGGAGGGGGATTTGAACTGTAAATTCAGAACATTTGGCTTCTTGGATATCAGGCAAAAGTATAAGATACTTTAAAGGTACACATACAGTCCAATTTTACCTTGCAAATACTACTTTATCTCTCCTTCAAAAAAAACTAGCAGTAAAACAACAAACTAATAGTTTTATATTCTTCACTCTTCAGTTTCAGATTTGAAAAGTGTTATAGCTCTGAGTTCTAGGGGGGGGGGGCCTTAAAGGTCTTGAGGGAGGCACTGTCCACCTTGCCCCCCACCCCTGTATACGCCCTTAATTAGAAAAATCTTATACAAAAATTTATTCAACATGCCCGTTTGATCAACTGACAAAAATCCAAGAAAAAGTAAAACAGATGAAACTGTAAATCAAAGAGAAATGGGCGTAAAGAGCATTGAATTCTCAGGCAGTGTAAATTCATATATTATAAATGTCAGCTAATATATAATTATTCCATTTCTTTGTGTTATATCTTTTCATAAAGCCATATTGTAGGAAACCTTATAAATCCTGATTGCAGATCATTACAGTTTATTAACTTTTAGAAAAGATATAAAAAATATTGTTTCTTGAAAAATCATAAAAATTCAGAATTTTTTACTATTTTCTTTAAAATTTGAATCTCTTTTTTAAAAATTTTAATAAAAAGAAATTTGGGTTTTATGTCTTTTGTATATTTTTGGTCCAATTCCTTCTTGGTTTCCAAAGGAAACCTTTAAAGGGTGTAACCTCCAAGAAGGTTAAGTTATTAAAGGTCTGATTCCGGAGATGTAAGGTGGTGGTTAGAAACTTATAGTTTTTTTCTTTTGAAAACTCAAGTTTTTTTTTATTTTCAAAACTTAAACTTTTAAAGACAAGGTTTATTTAAGTTTTGTTTAAAAATATTACAAAGATTCAGCTTACATATTGATGCGTTTATATTTTTGTTAAAGAAGACAGCAAACATATATTTGGTGATTTACTTTATACATATATAAATCAAAGTTCAGTTATAATTGCCTTTAATCACCATTTATCTGATTTAGGTCACAATTTCTATGAAAGAGATTCAATTTTTTTTAATAACTCCTCCAAAATATCCTCGAAAATATTGATAATTCTAGTATTTTAAATAACTCCGGCGATAAATATTTCTCAGAAACGTCTAATTTTCTAAAATGAGCTGGAAACCAAAAGAAGATGGAGTTTATATGGACGGTTTTTTCGGCCTTCATTATAAAGAAGGTATATAAATCAAATTATCAATGTTTGCAACAAATTGACATTATTTTGAAAAAACATGATCGAAAAAATAAAACTTTGTTCTTTAACTTTGAAACTCGACTTAAATATCTTTGAAAAGTAGACGTCTTAATTATAGCCAAATTGAAATTAAACTTCAAATCTTATTCCTGGGGGGGGGGGGTCAAATTGACCCCTCCCTCTGTAGTTTTTAAATAACTTAAGCAGTGTTGGTTTGAGGCTGTTGTAATTTTTGGCATTTCCTTAATACCCTCCCTTTGAGTCTAAACCGAGCTTTTATACTTACTGCCTTAGTCCTCAGGAACACTGCACGAATGACTACTTTTTCTGTAGCAAACTACATCTTTGTTTTGACCTATTTTCACTTGTCAGATTTTGCTAATTTTTAGCTTTTTGGAAAGCCTATGGCATAAGGAAACGGAAACAAGTTTTAGAAAGGCATTTTTGCAAATTATTTACAAACAAAATGTGCACATTTTTAGTTTTACTTTATTACAAATAAAGTTATTTAAAATTTTGCTTTTTTGCGAACATTTTTACTTTATAACTCGATTTTGTAAAAAAAAAGTTTGTTGCAGATTCTTAAAGTAGAGCACAAGAGCTTTCCAATGATGTATATTTGTCATATTTGGACATAAAACATTGTTATAAGAGGGGAAGGGGGTGGGGTTGTCAAATTAACCCCACTCCCCCCCCCCCAACCAGTGTATCCCTGTTTTCAAGTAACACTAGCAGTAGGATTTCCAGCGAACGAAAACTTATCCGAAAAATGCGAACATTTTCGTTCGTATTTCACAAACTTTTTCACTAAATATCGCAAAAGTGAATAAAGGAAAAAAATGCGACAATGTTGTGAAATTTTGCGAAAATTGTTTTCGGGAAACCATGGCCGCAATAAATAATTGCACAAAAAATGTTGTGGAATTCTCTGCTCTGAGCGCTCAGCATTAGAAGTTATATTCTATCACAATTAATAATTTCTCTTCCGTATTTTTTTCGCGAAAATTTCACATTTTTTCGCGAAGCAGATTAGAGCGAAATTTCGCGAGAAATTTTGTTTTCTCTCGCAAAAATGAAGTAAGTAAGAAAGTAACATTTATTGCACAATAACATGTTAACATATTAAACTGGCAGGAGATTTACAATTCGCAGGATTGCGGTTTACAACGTAGATCTTATGAATCCATTTTGCGAAACGATTATCCTCTAGGAAAAACCTCAATGTTTAAATATGGTTTAGATCATTATGTATCCCTATAGTGCTTTTCGGAGATAATCCTTGGATAAATAAGATTTAAATTTCTCTGGCGTCAATCATAATATCCTCTAAAATGTCGTTTTGAAAAATTGTTTTTGGGTCAGAAAGTTTGTTTCCTGCAATAAACTTATCGAGCAAATAATCTAGAATTAGTTTGACATCTCCAATTCTATTCGCCAAAAATATTTCAGCAATTACAGAACAATTTTTAAACCTAGGAGCTTCTCATTTTGATGGAATTCCCGAGGATTTGATGGAAATTTTTGATCCCCACTGGGGGAAATTTCCGCCTCAGGTAAATATTAATAAAATAAATGATTAAAATAACTGAACCCAATCGGTGAGAACTGTGAGTGTGTGGGGGGGGGGGTGGCATATCCTAGGCAAGAATTGGAACTTTAGCAGTCAAGATTTTATATATTCAAAATTCTTAAATCCGCAATTTGTTTCATTAAATATGAAAAATCTTTAAAATATAAAATATTGCAAAAACACTTGATTATTTTTGTTAGAATGTGAATCTTCAAAATATAAATAATATCGCTAAATATCTACTAACATTTAGTTTGCAATACCAAACTAACATCAAACATTGTTCGAAATCGCGAACAGAATGTTAGAAATATTTAAAGGAATTGAGTTTTTAACGACAAACTCTAATTTTCTAATCCATTTGTCATTAACTCTTTACAGCCTAATGGTGCAAACGTTTTATATTTCAAACTTTAATTTTTGAACCAACAGATCGATTATAATGTTAAAGGTCTGTGACATTAGGTTGCAGAGTTATTGAGATTGGAAAATTTAGGTTTGTGGCAAAGACGTTTAGCAAAATGTTTGTAATTTTGAATTTTGAATAATTATAATATACATTACGACCAAATAGATTATTAAGTAGAATAGGTGGCAAAATGGACTAATTATACATGACGTAACAAGTGTCAAACAACATTTTCTCACATTAGTTGACATAAAAAAGTGTTAATACAGAAAATAAAGCACTAATTTCACTGTAAGATAAGCACTTTATCATCACTATTTTTAATAATTTTGTCGGAAACATAAAACTGTTGACACAATACAGCTGAACTGAGAGTGTACAAATTCTACGTTGCCATCTATTGTACTTGGCAATCTATTTGAATACGAGAAAATAAGGGAGCTTTGCGCCCACCCTCTTATTTCAACTTTTAACTTAATCTGTGACTTGCAAGACTCTTCTCCTTGTACAGTATAAAACAATAACAACAAAAAAATTGCAAATTTTCCAATATTATTTCGCTCTTTTTTTAAAAATTTTACAATAATCAAAAGAATTTTGATACAACCTTAATTGTGATTTTGAGCTCCATATACATTCTCTGGGGTCATGTGAGGTCCCACACAAAATTTGGGCCTGATAGTTTTTGCCGTTTTGACTTTTATTGGATACAAACAGATAGACACCCCAGCATATATATAGATGGTATTAACTTGGAAATGGACTTGTTATCTACATTTTCCTCAAGGTAGGTATATCAGAAATTACAATATTTTTCTTATTCTAAATGAGGAAAATGGCAACATTATTCTCAAGGTAAATAAGGAATTACAACATTTTTCTGAAGTAAAATATTAGAAATAGTTTCCTCAAGGAATATTAGGATTTATAACATTTTCCTCGAGGTCTTTCATCAAAATTACAACATTTCCTAAGGTACACTAGGAAAACTACAAAATTGTTCTCAAGTATATATTATGAATAGAAATATTTTCCTCAAAGAATATTAGAAAATATCACATTTTCCTCGAGGTCCATTAGGAAAATTAATACATTTTCCACAAGGTCCATTAGGAAAATTAAAACATTTTTCTAAAGTATATTAGGAATAAAAATATTTTTTTTATGGAAAATTTGAAATTACAACATTATTCTCAATGCATATTAGGAGTTAAAACATGTTTCCTCAAGGTATATTAGGAATAAGAACATTTTCATCTAGGTATATTAGGAATAAAAACATTTCCTCTCAAGATTTATCAGGAATAAAAACATTTTCATCAAAATATATTAGGAATAAAAACATTTTCATCAAGATATATCAGGAATAAAAACATTTCCTCTCAAGATATATCAGGAATAAAAACATTTTCATCAAGGTATATTAGGAATAAAAACATTTCCTCTCAAAATATATCAGGAATAAAAACACTTTCATCTAAATATATTAGGAATAAAAACATTTTCATCAAGATATATCAGGAATAAAACATTTCCTCTCAAGATATATCAGGAATACAAACTTTTCATCAAAATATATCAGGAATAAAAACATTTCCTTTCAAGATATATTAGGAATAAAAACATTTTCCTCTAGATCTATTAAGAATAAAGACATTTCAATAAAAACATTTCCTCTAAAGATATATTAGGAATATGAACATTTCCTCTCAAAATATATTAGGAATAAAAACATTTTCATTAAGGTATATTAGGAATAACCTAACATTTCCTCTCAAAATATATCAGGAATAAAAACATTTTCATTAAGGTATATTAGGAATAAAAACATTTTCTTTAAAGATATATTAGGAATAAAAACATTTTCCTCAAGGTATATTAGGAATAAAAACATTTTCTCTAAAGTCAAAATATATTAGGAATAAAAACATTTTCCTCAAGATATATTAGGAATAACCTAACATTTCCTCTCAAAATATATTAGGAATAAAAACATTTTCATTAAGGTATATTAGGAATAAAAACATTTTCTCTAAAGATATATTAGGAATAAAAACATTTTCCTCAAGATATATTAGAAAAAAACATTTCCTCTCAAGTTATATTATGAATTATAACAAATTTTCCTCAGGGTATATTAGGAATAAAAACATTTCCTCTAAAGATACATTAGGAATAAAAACATTTCCTCTCAAAATATATTAGGAATAAAAACATTTTCATTAAGGTATATTAGGAATAAAAACATTTCCTCTTAAGATATATTAGGAATAAAAACATTTTCCTCAAGATCTATTAGAAAAAAAACATTTCCTCTAAAGATATATTAGGAATACAAACATTTCCTCTAAAAATATATTAGGAATAACCTAACATTTCCTCTCCAAATATATTAGGAATAAAAACATTTTCCTCAAGATATATTAGAAAAAAAACATTTCCTCTCAAAATATATTAGGAATAACCTAACATTTCCTCTCAAAATATATTAGGAATAAAAACATTTTCCTCAAGATATATTAGAAAAAAAACATTTCCTCTCAAAATATATTAGAAATAAAAACATTTTTCTCAAGATATATTAGAAAAAAACATTTCCTCTCTAGTTATATTAGGAATTATAACAAATTTTCCTCCTTAATTTGTTGAAAAGTAACTATTAATACTTTCCACAAACTCTAATATTCTATTTATCTTTGACACCTCTAGTCCTTTCGTATGTTAAAATTCGAGGTAATTTGTGTTAAATTCCTGTCACGTTGAGTTTGTGTCAAATTCCTGTCACGTTGATTTGTGTCAAATTCCTGTCAAGTAGAATTTGTGTTAAATTCCTGTCACGTTGAATTTGTGTTAAATTCCTGTCAAGTTGAATTTGAGCTAAATTCCTGTCACGTTGAATTTGTGTTAAATTCCTGTCACGTTGATTTGTGTCAAATTCCTGTCAAGTAGAATTTGTGTTAAATTCCTGTCACGTTGAATTTGTGTTAAATTCCTGTCAAGTTGAATTTGAGCTAAATTCCTGTCACGTTGAATTTGTGTTAAATTTCTTTTAGATCAAGGATTGATTTAAAAATTAATTCAAGATTATCAATATTTGCAAAAAAAAAGTTGTAACATGTCTAGACTGCTAGCCTGAGGACTCCGACCAATATGTTTGTTGTAAACCTGGCAGTCTCTGATCTTTGTATGATGACAACTCAGGTAAAAAAAAAATTCAGATTTTTTTGAAGGGGCCAACTTTTTAAAGTTTAGATCTTTATCGGCAGTTGTTAATTTTATGGGAGATTTAAAAAATTGAAACAATTATTAGAGTAGCTTTGCAATGTTTTTAGACATTGGCTTAATTATTTTTCTGTTATATAGCCGTTTCCACTTTTTGCCTATCCCAGCAGTACCCACTTCTGACTGTGTTATATCCTTATATTGAAATGATAAAAAAAGTAGGATAGGAGGAATTATTGAAAATGAATTGCACCCTAATGGTCGTTTCGAAAGAAAAGAAAAAAGAAAAATAATATGATTATCAATTTAGTCAAGGAATCAGGGAATCAAGGAATTGGTCCTTCTCCACAAACTATTGTTGTGATGATTGTTTTCATCAAATACAAGCCAGATGTAAATCCTATACATTTTCGAGATCAATAAATTGCACCCCTGCACAGTCCTTAAATATTCCCTTGTAGTAAGACCGTCATCTAGCTGAACCTGGTCTAGGTTCCTACGAGCAACTCCTCTAGATTTGAATCTCTCATCCAGCTGCTCTGGTTCAGGAACTCTGAACTCAAATATCTCGTTTAGATGCTTCAAGTCCAGACGTATCTGGGAAGCTGTCTCAGCCTCATTCAGCTGCTCTGGTTCAGGAACTCTGAACTCAAATATCGCGTTTAGATGCTCCAAGTCCAGACGTATTTGGGTAGCTGCCTCAGCCTCATTCAGCTTCTCTGGTTCAGGAACTCTGAACTCAAATATTTCATTTAGATGCTTCAAGTCTGGATGTATCTGAGCAGCTGCCTCAGCCTTAAAGAGCTGCTATCGTTAGACATTAGATATTTCAAGTTATGAATTCTGTTTGATCTAATAATCTAAACTTAAATTATCAAAAACTTTCACCATCTTGTTGCAAAGATATATAGATTAGAAAATGTTGTTTTTGTTCCAGGGGCTGCCGGTTGGAATAAATATGTTTATTGAAAGATACTGGATTTATGGAGTATTGGGTAAGCACTTCAAAGCACTGTTGTTAAGTGACCGTACATTTAAAGAGAAGCTTTGTCCGATTCACAACCATATACTAAATATGATCAATATTGTGGGAGATACAATGAGTGTTTGATTCTGTTAATTTTTTACATTGTAACTGACGCAAGAAATGCGTCCGTTACTAGCTTTTGGAAGAAAAGTGAACAACTTGATCAGACATAGCAATTAATGGTTCCATTGTGAATTGAACATGGCATTCTATAGATAGAGGGTGACTTTAAATTTACTTTACTTTACAGTCCCTTTCAGAATACGGAAAATACTTTTTCAATGTATAAAATGTATAGAATGTATAAAATGTATAAAATGTATAAAATGTATAAAATGTATAAAATGTATAAAATGTATAAAATGTATAAAATGTATAAAATGTATAAAATGTAAAAAATGTAAAAATGTATAAAATGTATAAAATGTATAAATGTATATAATGACATCTATTTTTAGCCTGCAAAGTCTATGCTTGCCTGGGGGCAATATTTGGAACCTGTTCTATCTTAACGATGGTTGTTATTGGATATGATCGGTACAATGTTATCGTGAAAGGGTTTAGCGGAGTCAGGATCACTGGCGCCAAGGTAAGAGATTTATGTCTTGTTGAATATAGTTTAACCAGTGTAGCTTGAAAATTAACTTATTAAATGAGATAAGTGTTTGTATGCTGTGGTTCATGTTCATTGGATTATTGAAAATTATATCTTGAGTTGCCTTCCAAAGTTTAATGAATCTCACTGTACACCAATACCTTAAACTCAAAATCTTCCTGACCATTTTTTTTCTTTATATATCTAAATATATTAAGTTGTAATCTCTGTTTGTCTGTCTGTTTGTTTGTTCGATCATAACTTGGGAACTCCTGGACTGATTTGACTCAAATTTTGATTGGAGAACTCGGGAGACCGACTGGAATGTTCTTGAATTTGAGATTCTAAGTTGAGTAAGTTGACTTAAATAGCGAAAAATCAGTTTCCCGGTAAAATCATTCAATTGCGGGTAAATGTTGGAAGTAAGTTTTAGTAACCTGGACAGTGCTAGGTCCCCAGGCTAGTTTATATTATAAAGCTCTTTGTTCATTAGGCTGAACCAAATTGGTTCAATATTGTAAGGAAACCCATGTGTTACTTTTGATTTAGGCAGCAGGAATCATCCTCTTCATGTGGGCTTATTGTGTAGCAGTTAGTGCTCCTCCTTTCATAGGCTGGGGAGGATATGCTGCTGAGGGTCTACTGCTAACCTGCAGCTATGATTACTTGAAACAGGTAAACTACTGCTAACCTGCAGCTATGATTACTTGAAACAGATAAACTAATGCTAACCTGCAGTAACAGGTAAACTACTGCTCACCTGCAGCTATGATTACTTGAAACAGGTAAACTACTGCTCACCTGCAGCTATGATTACTTGAAATAGGTAAACTACTGCTCAACTGCAGCTATGATTACTTGAAACTGGTAAACTACTGCTCACCTGCAGCTATGATTACTTGAAACAGGTAAACTACTGCTCACCTGCGGCTATGATTACTTTAAACAGGTAAACTACTGCTCTCTTACAGCTATAATTACTTGAAACAGGTAAACTACTGCTCACCTGCAGCTATGATTACTTTAAACAGGTGAACTACTGCTCACTTGCAACTATAATTACTTGATACAGGTAAACTACTGATAACCTGCAGCTATGATTACTTGAAACAGGTAAACTACTGCTCACCTGAGGATATGATTACTTGAAACAGTTAAACTACAACTCACCTGCAGCTATGATTACTTGAAACAGGTAAAATACTGCTCACCTGCAGCTATGATTACTTTGAACAGGTAAACTACTGCTCACTTGCAGCTATGATTACTTGAAACAGGTAAAATACTGCTCACCTGCAGCTATGATTACTTTGAACGGATAAACTACTGCTAACTTGCATCTATGATTACTTGAAACAGGTAAACTACTACTAACCTGCAGCTATGATTATCTATTTAATAAGGACTTCGCTCGTATACATTTGTATATATATATAAGGCAAATAGATTATCAAGTACAATAATCGGTGGCAACAGAGAAATGAACCAATTATACACGACGTCACAAGTATCAAATATAACAAGAAAACGAAATTTTCCAAGAATAGATTAAAAAGTGTTAAAACAGAAAATAAAGAACACATAAAATTGCACTTATGTTACTGTAAAATAAACACTTTATTCTAAGCTTATCACTGTTTTGTCGGACATCTAAATTGACACTTGTGACGTAAGAATACAGCTCTCCTACGAGTGTACAAATTCTACGTTGCCATCTATTATACCAGAATTTATTTGATATATGGTAACCCTTGAGTACCCCATGGGGTTACATAGGCTAAAAAAAATTCGACTTTTTTCTTTCAAAATCCACTATTTTTCCAATAATCGGATTTTTTTGAAAATTCGATTTTAAAAATTTTCAGGGGCAACGCCGGGCATTTCAGCTAGTTGATTTTATTGATGCAAATGATTTTTATTTAGGATTGGAACCACAAGAGTTTTATGCTTCATGCATTCATCTTTAATTATCTTTTCCCTCTCTTCCTTATTTCTATATTTTATGCCCAGGTGAGAACAAGTGATAATAGTTTTGAAATTGAAATGAATATGTATATATTGAATTTGTATAATTTTATTCTAAAACATCTTTTTGTATCACTGTATCCTTAAGACCATTGACCAAAATGTTAATTGTCTGCGACAAATAATTCTTTAGTTATAGACTTTTTGTCCCTTACTTACATATTAAAATTCTGAAAATATAAAAAAGAAAAAGTCCGTAAAATGACGATAAATTGTCTCTTAGTAAGGTATGAAAAGTATCAAATTTAGCGACAACAAATCAGTGATTAAAAATCCGTTTCTAAATAACGGTTTTTTTGTCACGGACTAAAAGTAATTTCATTATTTAAAGTTAAATAATTAAGTTTAATTGACTCATGTAAAGTTTAAAATAGTGTATAATGGGGAAGGAGAGGGAGGGGTTTCCCGGACCTGCCCCCCCCCCCTTCACCACCAGACATCCAGGCCTTTTTAGAGTTAACGGTTAAATAATCTTTATGGCAATTCTTTTAAACAATTGATAGAAAAAAACAGTATAATTTTATACAATTTTTTCAAATAAGTAAATTTTTCAAGCATATGAAACATGAACTTTGTTTCATGTTTGTTTACAAGAATTAGAAAATAACATTTGTTTAGATTGTAAAAGCAGTTGTATCCCATGAAGCAGCATTGAAAGCTCAGGCTAAGAAGATGAATGTAGAATCTCTGAGATCTGGAGATCAGAGTGGGGAGAGTGCTGAGATTAAGATCGCTAAGGTTTTGAAAAGTCCAGATAAAACTATTTTGATTGACAACCTGTAATTGCTTCTTAAGAACAAACCTACTGTACATTTCTTCTAAATTTCTTTAAAAATTATCTTCCATAAAAAAGTCAAATTTACTCTCTTGATTCATGAATGGGTCTCTATAAGTCCATATAGAGCATAATTATTTTTTCGAAAAGTTTCGAAAATTAAGTTTGAATTTAGGTTGCATTACAAATATTTAGGTTGGTATTGCACATGTTTAGGTTGCATTACAAATATTTAGGTTGGTATTGCACATGTTTAGGTTGCTATTACAAATATTTAGGTTGGTATTGCACATGTTTAGGTTGTTATTACAAATATTTAGGTTGGTATAGCAAATGTTTAGGTTGCATTATCAAATATTTAGGTTGGTATTGCACATGTTTAGGTTGCTATTACACATTTTTAGGTTGCTATTACAAATATTTAGGTTGCTATTGCACATGTTTAGGTTGCTATTACAAATGTTTAGGTTGGTATTGAACATGTTTAGGTTGCTATTGCACATGTTTAGGTTGCTATTGCACATGTTTAGGTTGCTATTACAAATGTTTAGGTTACTATTACAATGTTTAGGTTGCTTTTGCACATCTTTAGGTTGCTATTGCACATGTTTAGGTTGCTATTACAAATGTTCTGCTATGGTTCTGTATTTGGTCCCCCTATGCTATCGTTACCATGATCGGATGCTTTGGGAACAGTATGCTTGTTACACCGTTGGTATCTCAGCTCCCAGCTTTTCTTGGTAGGTTACATTCAACTATTATAGGGTTATCCCCGCAAAGGAAAGCGTTATTTTACTAAAGGCCTTTAAATCTTCTAAATTTTGTTTTCCGATGTACAAATTTAGTGGCACATTATAACTTGACAGAGAAAGAAACAAGAAAAATTCCGTCTAGTCGCCTGAAAAGTAGGGCTGGGCGTGTTACTTCTTATTTTAAATCGTTCGTTCCCGTGAAAGAAAGATCGTTCCCCGGTACAATATATTTCAGCTAAAACTGCGTCAGCAATTAACCCTGTGATATATTTTAGCTAAAACTGCGTCAGCAATTAACCCTGTGATATATTCTAACTGAAACTGTGTCAGCAATTAACCCTGTGATATATTTCAGCTAAAACTGCGTCAGCAATTAACCCTGTGATATATTTTAACTAAAACTGCATCAGCAATTTACCCTGTGATATATTTTAGCTGAAACTGCGTCAGCAATTAACCCTGTGATATATTTTAACTAAAACTGCGTCAGCAATTAACCCTCTGATATATAAAACTGCGTCAGCAATTAACCCTCTGATATATTTCAGCTAAAACTGCGTCAGCAATTAACCCTGTAATATACGCAATCTCTCACCCCAAATACCGCGAAGCACTAGCCCAAAATGTTCCATGTCTGGGAATTGGTGAGTAACAAATTATTCAAAAAAATATGTATATATATTTTTATTTTTTGTTGCAGGCGACAAGCCGAAAGAGGGCGGCGAGGATGTATCAGCAGTTACAAAAACCTAAATTAATTTATGCATTTATAACAGAAAATATAATAACCACAAAATCAAAAATTTTCTTTTATGTAGACTAAATTTTTGACTCTTGTTTATTGTGCAATGTTACATTTTGTTTTACAATGGACCAATTGTTTTACTTTCAAAGACTGGTTTCTAGTCTGTTCCTCCTTACAAGAACTTAGTTTTAGTCTTATCCTACTTAAAGGGAGCTGGTTCTAGTCTGAACATTTTTACACGGACTAAGTTTTGGTATAATCCCACTTGCAAGAGTTGAGTTCTAGCCTAATCCCACTTACAAGGACTAAGTTTTGGTATAATCCCACTTGCAAGAGTTGAGTTCTAGCCTAATCCCACTTACAAGGACTAAGTTTTAGTGTAATCAACCATACAAGGACTAAGTTTTAGTCTAATCAAACTTAAAAGGACTTAGTTTTAGGCTAATCCCACTTACAAGGACTTATTTTAGCCTAATCAAACTTAAAAGGACTTAGTTTTAGGCTAATCCCACTTACAAGGATTTAGTTAACGTCTAATCCCAATTACAGGGACTTGGTTCTAGCCTAATCTCACTTACAAGGACTTTGCTTTGTCTAATCCCAAATACAGGGACTTGGTTCTAGCCTAATCTCACTTACAAGAACTTTGCTTTGTCTAATCCCAAATACAGGGACTTGGTTCTAGCCTAATCTCACTTACAAGGACTTTGCTTTAGTCTAATCCCAAATACAGGGACTTGGTTCTAGCCTAATCTCACTTACAAGGACTAAGTTTTAGTCTAATCCCAAATACAGGGACTTGATTCTAGTTTGAACATTTTTACTTTCTAATGATGGAAAAACAAACATTGGATATTTATTTAAATCAGTAAAAAGTCAAACATTATTTAATCTGCATCTGCTATCTTAAATATATTCGATTAGGTTTTGTTTCTTAAATCCTCAGATGTTTATAGAGACCAGTCAGTCCTCGGTTGACGGGCCTTGGCTGAAAAAAGTACTTTTAAAGTTAATAATGATGAAACTTTATTTTAAAGCTCAGATATGTGTAAAATTATTCCCAATTTTTTTGAAATGATTTTCAGACCCCCTTCTTTATATTGCATAGGAAGAAATTAAAAAGAACTTACTGATTCAAATCTGAAAAGATACCCAATACGTTCCTATAAAGACACGAATAGAAATAATTATATGACATCACAGTTAGAAGAAATCCGTTTTCGACCTATTTTAAAATCCGATGACTGTTCGATTACGAAACTGCCGAATTATTTAAAAAATTAAACATTGGGTCTGGCAAATTGAATTTTCTATAGTGTCATTCAGAGTTATACAAACACGTTAAGAATTTTGAAGATGGCTTCTTAAAAACTTTTTAAAAAAGTGCTTTGAAGTTTGAAAAGTACATAACTAGGGTTACAAAATATGTGAAAATTATTCAACGGGATAACGTTTCGACCCTTTAAAGTCGACACCAGTCTTAACCTTTTCATCAGTTTTGACAAGATGTAATTATAGATAACCATTTTTACATATTTAAATTGTGGCTAAATAATTTGATTTGATTTGATGTGCATAAAAATATATTTTCTGCACTTTAGAAGAATATATATACTGACGGGACAGTTAGAACTGAATCTTAAATTGTCCAGGGTTTAAAATTAAAGATGAGAAAACTGACCTTGTCATGCATAATCTCTCTCATATACTTCAAGCTGGAGCTCTGCATCAGGTTCTCAAGGTTCTGCATCAATCTGATCATTGTCACAGCATTCTTCTTGTCTCCCTATCCAAGTAAAATTAAAGATCAATTGAGAAAAAAATAAAAGTTTTTATAACACAAGTGTTGCTGTTGCTCATGGTTAGAGATATGGAAATCGTTTTTGTGAACGAATAAAATTTCATGAAAAAACGTAATTTTTCATGAACAATCGTGTTGTTCAGAGAAAACGAACGATTGAGGAACGACTTAGATCGCTCGGAGAGTAAAAAAAAAATATTTAAAATTGTTTGTAAAAAGTTTGTATATCATTCGTTCGAAAGAATTTGAAAAAATTATCATTTTTTTGGCTGAACGAACGATTTTAGTTTGAACTTTAAAAACCACGAAAGATTTACACTGAAAGAACGATTTTATTGAACGAACAATTTTACAGAACGATCGTTCAGTCAGAAAATGAACGAAATAGATAAAAAATGAACGATCCTTTGAGAACGAACGAAATATTTAAATGAATTTAACACAGGTCTGCAGCTTTCGTAATTGTAAATTGGCGATACAGTCCAAACTATATGACTGCAAAGGTTTGCCCAGCTTGGATATTCAAATGTACACACAGGTGTGCGTGATTTAACGGACCAATCGAAAATCAATTTGATTAAACTTAAAGGGTGCCATCAAGCAACCATATTGAATTTTTTAAACCTTTTTTTCAAAAATGAGAAAAGATATGGATAAACCTGATCCATGGGCAATGAGATATTGACAACTCTGAAAGTTAATCATCCAATTATTAGACAGCCTCGACTTTAAAGTTTCATAGCGCCTTGGTCTTTGGTTTTACCTCACCAACACACTCCCCATTTTTTGTAGCTCTGGACAAAAAAATTTTAGAAATGCAACCTGCTTGTTTCTAGCTTGAGTATGAAAGAAAAAATTGGCAAAAAATACAGCTCTATTTTTGTGTCACAGCTTGCCAAGGCTGTTGGTAATTCTCGATGCGCTCCAGTGTACCGAAAATGTCGTCTACGAAGATAAATAGATAAAATCCTCACATGATGTCACCCTGGCCTCTATAATCAGTGACGTCATATGAGGTTTTTATCTATCTATCTTAGGAGACGAGATTTTCCGTACACTGGAGCACATCGAGAGTAACCAACCTCATTATACAATCTTGGATTAGGTCATCCTTTACAAATATATGATAATAAATACAAATTACCTTTATAACGTTCATGATCAGTTCCTTATCATCTGAAGGTAAAGTAGATAAAGAGAGTGGAAATAAATCCTAAAAAATAAGAAATATTTTCAGAGCTGAAAACTATTGTGGAAATCGAGATCAATACTATATCTCGATCTTTCTGCAAATATATTCGATATCCCGCATAATAACCGTTCTCAGTCATGGGTTGAAGGGAGCTTTGAATAGGAAGCTTTAGTAAGGGAAGGAATAACTAAAATAAAGAGATTAAGCATTGATCCTCAAGTTAAAAGTGTCACCAGTGGATATCGACATCAAGCGTTCGGGGTTTGTGTATCAAACACTAAAGTTCCAAGCTCAGGTTGATATTTTATGTAAATGTAAACACATGAAATTGAAAACAACGCATATTTGATTTGAATCTGTACTTGACATAAAACACAACAAAAACAGTTTCAATGCAACATTTTTGTTATCATTGAACACTGTGCTTGGTTTTCTATAAGAGATTTTTCACATTTTCTTATTTAAAAAATACAGATATTTAAATATTCAATTGATAAGAGAAAAATAATTGATAAATTGTACCGGTGAAAGTTTTTTTCAAATTCTTTTAATTTTCTATCTAGAAAGGAACTGATTACTCGAACCAAACTCTAAATGTTTAATGTCTAATCATAATAATTTATATATATATATATATATATATATACCTCACCTTAATCATGTCTGCCTGTGATTCATTGATTACCACCAGGAAGCAAACTATAGATATATTTTCAAAATCAGGATATAATTTCAAAATCAGAATATATTTTCAAAATCAGGATATATTTTCAAAATCAGGATATATTTAAAAATCCAGGATATATTTTCAAAATCAGGATATTTTTTCAAAATTAGGATAAATTTACATAATCAGGATTTATTTTCAAAATCAGGATACATTTATTTTCAAAATCAGGATATATATTCAAAATCAGGATATATTTTCTAAATTAGAATATATTTTCAAAAGCAGGATATATTTTCAAAATCAGGAAATACTTAAGAATCTATATATTTACAAATCAAGAATCAGTGCACGTAAAAAAAGCTATTTGGAAAAATTTATTTGATATATTTTAGATGATTAATGAGTAATCAGTTGGCTTATTTTTGATTCATTTTAAAATGTTGTTGGACTAATATACGTTTTCATCCTCTAGTGAGAATTTTAAAAATTGCAAAGTTGTTTATTCCTAACATTTGTTTTCTAACACTGTGCAAAATTTTGACCCTATAAGAGCAAAAATATGCACAAAACGAAACAAAAACGATTCAAAAACAAACGTGCAAAGCAAAATTGTTTTTTTTTGGCTCGTTTCCCCCTTTTTCTCTTGGGATAAAAATGTTGCAAAGTTTAATAAAAGCAAACTTTTTAAGAACCAGTACGTTTTGAAATATTAGAAGTTTTATTAAAAGTCTCTAAAAAACGTTAAAAACAAGATATACAAGTGATCAGAAAGTTTTCAAAACATATTTTTTTTTTCATAAAGAAGTTTTTGTTAAAAAGTATTGATATTGAAATATTCCTGCGAGTATAAGAGGGAAGGATGGTGCTCCGAGTATATGTTTCATTATACTCATTCTCATCTAGCCTCTACACACCTTATTTATACTTAGAGTCAAATAGAGAGGAGAGGAGATGGACATTGGACAACTATATAGAGATGAGATGGGGTGGACATTGGACAACTATATAGAGATGAGATGGGGTGGACACTGCACAGCTGGAGATAATTTATATAAAATACAGTTTATTTCAACTTGAGGTTTAAGTACTTATCTATAAATACATCCTGAGATTTTCCTGCTAGTTAGATATATATATAGTATATCTATACAAATATATTATATTGACCATGTTTGTTAAAACCAGAATTCAGATGTACTCCTTGCACTTTTCTTAGTTTCTCATAATATACTGAACAATTTGGGAAATCAAAATATTTCAAAAACAACGATTTTTTAGAAAATAAAACAAAATGGAAATTTTTATTATTTTCTAAAAACTTTTGTTGCTTAGTGAGCCCTGATCAAGAGATGAATACTCTAAAATTCCTTATATCTGTTATCAGTTCAGACAAACTACACATTGTGTTTAACATATCAATATTTATCAAGTGCAGATATTATATTAAATTGTATAACTGTATTATTAGTAGTCTAAATGAAAACAAAATTTTTCATTTTAAGCATCTGTGTATGTACATTAGAGATGGACACGTTCGAGGTTTTTCATTTCGTTCATTCATCGTTCGTGAACTACTTATTTCGTTTTTTTCAATCGTTAAAAAATGAATTCTTTCGTTCTCAAAATGATTGTTCTTTTTCATCTATTTCGTTTGTTCCTTCAGTAAAAAAATCATTGTTTTTAAAAGAAATTTTCGAAAATATTGTTTGTTCTGTAAAAAAACGATTGTTTTTTTTTATAAATATTTCGGAAAATTCGTTCCGTAAAAACTATCGTTTTTCAAGTTAATTCGAACAATTTTTAAATCGTTCGTTATTTTTTTCTTTCACGTACCTCAGATGCCCGTCTCTATACATATATGATGGCCATCTCTATATACTAGGCATATCATAGTAGTTTGGTGAAGTATTTTTCTTCTTATATCGTAAAAATAACAGTTTACAAAATATCAAAAAACGATAATTTTAATATATGTACGTATATATTTAACCCAATTCCGACTGACGTCTGGTTTAAACAAAATAGATTGGGGCCTGGGGACCTTCCTCCCTTTTTTTCTTATCGCGATACAAATCTATAACATTTGATACGTCTTTGGAATAATCTGCAAAAAAAAACGAAAATTTGTAAATATCCAAATGTTTATTCCGAAATATGGTTATTTTGTAAAAAATGTGCAAAAAAAATATGCTTACATTTGTTATAGACTTTCAAAAGAGTTATAAGATGTTGAAATCCAATGTCTAGAAGTAGGCCTAACAATAGATTTTTTATGGTTTAAAATAAGGCATTCAGGCAGTAAGTATAAAATGCAAGCTTTTAGTCTTAAGTGAGGGTCACGTGTTAGTTAAAAAAGTAGGAATAGGGTTTAAATATAATTTAAATTATGATCTAAATCATACATTAAAAAATGCATGTATAGAATATCAGTACAAAGAGAGATGAAGGCATCTATACAGTCTGCTAAACGTTGTTGGTCCTTAAACAAACTAGGAGGAGAAATATTTGGACGCAGATTTTTAAATTCTAGTGAAGGTATAATATTAGATCTTCCCGTACTTGTTCCATTGTAATAAATACAGTTTGAACATACCCGGATAAATTGCGTTGTACAATGTCTGTAAATCTAACTGCGCTAATCCCAAATGCGCAAACCTTAAAGGGAGTGTTCGCGAAAAATGAAAGGGGGTATAGGCTTAATGCGATAAAAAAGCGCTTTTGATCGCTACTAATCTTACTTTAAAATGTTATGGAAAGATGCTTTAAACCTTTGTTTCGGTAAAAGTAATGGAAATATCCTAGTTTTTCCATCTTGAAAAATTGATCTGCCATATTTCTCTTAAATATACCTGTAGATTTATGAAGCAAATACAAATTTATAACATTGATCTCTTTTTAACTCTTCCTTAATGTTGCTCAGATAAAAGATCAAAGGGTACTATTGTGTAACTCTTCCAAAGTCATTTTGTTTACAATCCCTTTCATTTTTCTTCCCAGGACCTGATAGGATATTACCAGCAACAGATCATAGAGCCTGGTTACCAGATCACTCAGTGAGAATACGATTTCAGGTATTTTTAAACAAAACATATCTAATTTTAAAGTCACGGTGGACTAGGGTCAATTTGAATTCGAACCAGACCAGCCCATTGTACTGACCTTGGTAAAGCCTTGCATGTACCACAGGACTCCATGCCGGCTTGTTCAAAACTTTGATGGCGCAGCCAGATTTTTAACAGTACCCGGGCTAACTGTTTGATCTATATTTCTTGCTTATTTAACCCTATTCCCGCTGGGGGGGGGTGTAATATTTAGGTTGTACAATCTTTTATAATAATTAGGTTGTACAATCTTTTATAATAATTAGGTTGTATACAATCTTTTATAATATTTAGGTTGTACAATCTTTTATTATATATAGGTTGTACAATCTTTTATAATAATTAGGTTGTACAATCTTTTATAATAATTAGGTTGCATACAATCTTTTATAATATTTAGGTTGTACAATCTTTAATAATATTTAGGTTGTACATTCTTTTATAATAATAGGTTGTACAATCTTTTATAATAATTAGGTTGTATACAATCTTTTATAATATTTAGGTTGTACAATCTTTTATAATATTTAGGTTGTACATTCTTTTGTAATATTTAGGTTGTACAATCTTTTATAATAATTAGGTTGTACAATCTTTTATAATAATTAGGTTGTATACAATCTTTTATAATATTCAGGTTGTACAATCTTTTATTATATATAGGTTGTACAATCTTTTATAATAATTAGGTTGTACAATCTTTTATAATATTTAGGTTGTACAATCTTTTATATTATTTAGGTTGTACATTGTTTTGTAATATTTAGGTTGTACAATCTTTTATAATAATTAGGTTGTACAATAATTTATAATAATTAGGTTGTACAATCTTTTATAATAATTAGGTTGCATACAATCTTTTATAATATTTAGGTTGTACAATCTTTTATATTATTTAGGTTGTACATTCTTTTGTAATATTTAGGTTGTACAATCTTTTATAATAATTAGGTTGTACAATAATTTATAATAATTAGGTTATATACAATCTTTTATAATATATAGGCTGTTCAATCTTTTCTAATATTTAGGTTGTACCAAATAGATTGACAGAGAAATGGACCAATTATACATGATGTCACAAGTGTCAAATATAACAAGAAAATGAAATGTTATCATAATAGTTGACATATTTTCCAAGACTATATGAAACAAGCGTAAAAACAGAAAATAAAATTGCACTTATTTAACTGGAAGATAAACACGTTCTTCTAAAATTATCACTATTATTAATAATTTTGTCGGACACAAAATTTAAGTTGTCACTGCAGGTGATGTAAGAATACAGCTGTACTGAGAATGTACAAATTCTACGTTGCCATCTATTGTACTAGAATCTATTTTGGTTGTACAATCTTTTATAATATTTTAATAACTTATTTAAAACTAGTCTTTTACAATTATTTAATATTTTGAAGACAAGTTACTGTATTCTTAGATCAATTTTGCTTATAAAACATCCAGAATTTGATGCGAGGGATGTTTCTTGGCAATATTGGTTAAGGGAACCCCTGGTGGAGTAAATAATAAAATTTTCCAAATTTAATTTTAGGATTTAAAGGAACAGATGGCAAAAATATTATTTGGACTTACTCTGATTATATGGAGGTTAGATAATTACTCACAAACAGCATGGTAATTGCTCAACAAACAGATTTCTGTAGCAAGTGGTCTATGATCCAGTCGAATGAGCCCTAACAATTTTTTCTAAGTATCAAAAGCATTTTAAAATTATAAACAGAATGAAAGGGACATAGATTAATAACAATACAGATAGAACTTAACACTAGATGTCTTTTTTCAAGATTTAGGGGTTTTTCACAATAACCCTAACAAAGCAGTTACGCGCATGCTCTCTCTCTGTCATCCAACGTGGCATGCGCGTAACTCCTTTGTGAACGAAAAACCCCTAAATCTTAAAAATATTAAATCTAGTGTTCTATTTGTATTGTTATTAATCTATGGCAAGGGATATCTAAAAATTTTAAATTTTTCTAACAAGCTGTTTGAAATTTAGATCAAAATGTTTGTTATTTCGACATGTTTTTGTTAGTTTTGATATATATATACAGAATTTTTTTAATAGCTTTATAGTGCAGTACTTTTTTTAGATTTGTTTTTGTTAAAAAGGATATTTTTTAGGAAGTATTGAGCGCAAGTAAAGGATTTATTGCACTTGGCCTGGAACCTCTGCATTCAGGTTAATTATAGGTTTTTGACTCGACTTGTAGAACTGATTCTCCGTATGAAGATGCAGAGCTACTTACAAAAGGAATGAACCTTTCATGACGAGCTGAAACTCTTTATTTCTACCGATCTGAAAATTCTTAAATATAGTCTTTTATAGCCTATAGGTTTATTAAACGATTTTGCATAAAATAGAAAGGTTTAATATATATATTCCGTACAGTCGTCTCTGAAGTTTCTTCCTTTGCTGAATACCTTGTTAAATTTATTTTCAAGAATTCTTTATTAGATTTAGCTAGTCTTAGATTATCCTAACAAGTATTGTCCAAGTAACATTTTTTATAGTTTGTATTCTTGGACATAATTCCCCTGAATGGGCTTTCTCTAACCTAGCCGCAGTGTACAGTAGAGGTTTCTCAACGGGTATCTACCAGGTGAACCAAAGTAAAATGCACGGGTTTGATCTGCTTCACCAACATGAAGATCTACATCACTCCCATGAAGTACCCACAACATTCATCATTAATTCCTTTGTTAATTTCTAAATCAACCAATTTTAACTCCGCCTTAAATGCAAATATTTCAAAACACTCGGTTTTAAATAAATGTTAGAAATATCCATTTTAGATCTCTTTATTTTATTATAGTGACTTTTAAAGTCAACAATAGGTTGTACCAAATAGATTGACGAGAATTGAACCAATTATACACGATGTCACAAGTGTCAAATATAACAAAAAAACGAAATGTTATCACATTAGTTGACATGTTTTCCAAGATTATATAAAACAAGCGTAAAAACAGAAAATAAAATTGCACTTATTTAACTGTAAGATAAACACGTTATTCTAAAATTATCACTATTATTAATAATTTTTTCGGACACAAAAACTAAGTTGTCACTACAGGTGATGTAAGAATACTGCTGTACTGAGAATGTACAAATTCTATGTTGCAACCTATTGTACTAGAGTCTTTTTGGGTTGTACATCCCTTTTAAATATTTAAATAACTTGTTTATTGTTATTCTTTTACAATTATTTAATATTTTGCAGACAAGTTACAGGATCCTTAGATCGATTTTGCCTATAAAACATTCAGAATTCGATGCGAGGGATGTTGCTTGGCATTGTTGGTTGAGGGAACCCCTGGTGGAGTAAATATTAAAATTTTTCAAATTTTTTTTTAGGAATTAAAGGACCAGATGGCAAAAATATTATTTGGACTTACTCTGATTATATGGAGGTTAGATAATTGATCACAAACAGATTTTGGTAATTACTCACAAGCAGATTTTTGTAGCAAGTACGTGGTCTATGATCAAGTCAAATGAGTCCAAACCATTTTTCTAAATATCGTACTACCAAAAGCATTTCAAAATTATAAACAGAATGCAAGGGACATTGATTAATAACAATACAGATAGAACACTAGATGTTTTTTTCAAGATTTAGGGGTGTTTTCACAATTATCCTGGTGAAGCAGTTACGCGCATGCTCTCTCTCTGTTAGCCAACGTGGCATGCGCGTAACTCCTTTGTGCTTCTGCCCCAGGATTAATGTGAATGAAAAACCCCTAAATCTTGAAAAGATTACATCTAGTGTTCTATCTGCATTGTTTTTAATCTATGGAAAGGAATATCTTAAAATTTTAAATTTTTCTAACAAACTGTTTGATATTTTGATCAAAATGTTTGTTATTTCGACATGTTTTGTTAATTTTTATACATCAAGTTTTTTTTAATAGCAGTGCGGTACTTTTTAGATTTGTTTTTGTTAAAAGGATATTTTTTAGGAAGTATTAAGTGCAAGTAAAGGATTTATTGCGCTTGGCCTGGAACCTCTGCATTCAGGTTAATTATAGGTTTTCTACTAGACTTGTAGAACTGATTCTCCGTATGAAGATGCAGAGCTACTTACAAAAGGAATGAACCTTTCATGACGAGCTGAAACTCTTTATTTCTACCGATCTGAAAATTCTTAAATATAGTCTTTTATAGCCTATAGGTTTATTAAACGATTTTGCATAAAATAGAAAGGTTTAATATATATATTCCGTACAGTCGTCTCTGAAGTTTCTTCCTTTGCTGAATACCTTGTTAAATTTATTTTCAAGAATTCTTTATTAGATTTAGCTAGTCTTAGATTATCCTAACAAGTATTGTCCAAGTAACATTTTTTATAGTTTGTATTCTTGGACATAATTCCCCTGAATGGGCTTTCTCTAACCTAGCCGCAGTGTACAGTAGAGGTTTCTCAACGGGTATCTACCAGGTGAACCAAAGTAAAATGCACGGGGGGGGGAGGGGGTAAGGGATAGAGTTTGCATTTATTTCACTGTGTCATATTGAGATTAGGGCTGGGCACCGTAAACGAGAAAATATCGTTTTTGAAATTAACTATAAACTGGATTTTCTGTTAACAACCATATCTTCTTAAAATCTACGAACACCGTAAAAACATTTTCTTTAAACTGGAGAGATCAAAATAATTCAGGTATAGCTAGCACCAAGGTGATAATGCAAGGAAAGTTATTTCAGTGGTGAACGCATCTTTTGTACTGCAGTGTACTGTCTCTCGGCGGTAATGTAAACACAAGACAGATGTCGAAGCCTGACATGGGATCCATCTTTCACATAAAAAATCAATGAAATATTCAGGTCATAGGAAACTATTATATGAATTATCAAAATCATTAAAATTTAATGCGTTTAATCTCCTCGGATACTAAACGAACACTGATGCATCAATTCTTGTTTACAAATTTTGCCCAGAGAGAACTGGTTTCAATATGTACGCAGAGTATACGCAACTGCAATTAACTTTCCTTGCATTATATCCTTGGCTAGCACCATGTATTTCCATAGCCCAATTTTTCAAAGTGATTATTGATAATAAGAATGCTAGAGAGTATTAATAAAAAATATCAAAAAGTACGTTGAAAAAATGATCTAAAATATTTTTAAATTTTGGCATGTGACACATGTTTTTTAGTAACTATTCAAGGTAAATCTTCAGTTTTCTATTTTCTAAAGAAAATAATAAATTAATAATATTTATGTTAAGACTAACAGTGCTGATGCCTGCAAATATGTTGCAAATCACTCGAGAGCAAATATTATTGTTGTTGACGATAATCAACAGTTAGAGAAGATTCTGTCAATAAGACATCAGGGGTGGAATAAACTTTTTCAAAATATCGTAATAGGGCGATCACATCAATATTATTGAATAAATTATAGCAACATTTTTATTTTTTGTTTAAGCAAGCAACTAGAAATATTCCGAATTATTTATTGTTTTAATCAAAAATTCTTAATGCAATGGTAAATTTAATTTGCCAGTGATTTTATTCAAAAATAAGGTTGTGATCGCGCTATTCAAGAAAACATTAAAATTTAAAATTTTTGAACTGTGTACAGAATAATTCAATATTAATGATTAAAAAGTTTAGATTGGCAAACATTTTGTATATTGGATTCTTAATAAAAATTTACCGTGTTGATTGGTTTACTCTCGAATCTGGATGCGCTCTAATGTACGGAAAATGTCGTCTCCTGAGATAGATTGGAGCGCATCGAGAGTAACCAACCTTATTATACAATCTTGGTTTAAACCTGGTCGAAAGAAGCATAACATGATTTATATTTTACCTAGATTATTACAGAATGTTTGGCAAATAAGACTTAAAGGACTAAAAAATGTAATTTCAAGTGATTCTCCATTTGTAGAGTGTCGTGTTCAATTCCCACCAGTACCCATATAAAACCTTTAAATGATCAAGGTTGTCGAACTTTTTCTACCAAAACGATTCTAATTGCTGATGACTTTGTTTGCAAGGTGGCAGGTATAAAAGATATAAAAATATTTACTTTACAGATGTCACACGAAATAGATATTTCCATTTGAATATTTAAAATCGCGATTTGTATTCTGTGTATAGAGTATTCGGGATTTGTATTCTGTGTATAGAGTATTCGGGATTTGTATTCTGTGTATAGAGTATTCGGGATTTGTATTCTGTGTATAGAGTATTCGGGATTTTCGTGAAATATATGAAAAGTCAGTTGCGTTATTCATGCACACTGTGCGATATTGTGCACTCCCAATGTACACATAATTCTAGAGATAAACTCATTGAGGTATCTACTATCTACCCTTTTAAAGTTTAAAGGGTGAAGTTACAAATCGGACATTCTCCTCACTGCATGGAGGATCATTTGTTATTACGCTATAAGTCCCTTTAAATGAAGAGGACTGGTTGAATCAAGTTATGTTTCAAATAGTGCAAAACAAATACAAAACTCGGCAATTTTGTGCAATGTACCCGTATTCTTCAATGACACTTTTTAATTAATAAGTTAATGCTTAGACTTCTAGCAAAACTGTTTGTTTTTAACAGTATCAAACTCAAATAACAACGCTTTAATGCCGTCTTCCTATTCCATGGTTTTTGGGCAAAGAGAATAGAATATATATTAGAGGGGAATTTACTAGAAAAAAGTGTAAAACGGCCATTTTGTTGTAATGTTTCCATACTGCAGGCGTACTTCACATATTTAGGCTATATAACCTTTTGGGCCCTGGAATTTCATTTTATAGAAAATCTAAAATTAATGTTAAAAGAAAACCAAATTATGAAATAGGCTGGTTTCATAATTGACTAATGATCATTTCACATAGACTCTATGCCTTTCACTTTACAAACGATGATTTTCCACTATAAATATAAATCAAATGATGTTTTTTATCACCTAATTCATTGTTAAGTTTATTTAACAGCTTTAAAAAATTCGAAATTGAAATGAAATGAATAGTCTAGGGAACATACTGTATTAGTGTACTCTACTGCACATAATTCGTGAACATTAAAATGATTTGTACACTTTAAACTCCCTATCAGGCTGAAAGGGACTGAACAAATTAATACCGAGAAATTCTCTAAATTCCCCTCTAATATATATTCTATTCTCTATGTTTTTGGGTCTAACTGTAAAGAAGCCCCAAATAATTTTTCCGATAGAATTAAAACTAATGATCTAAGATTAATTAGAAAAAAATATGAAAATTAAATTGAATTGTAAGAAAATTATTTTTATTCTATATATTCTGTAGCTGCCCTGTTTGAAACAGATCGTACAGTACAAAGGTACATCAGGAGAAGAGGGTGTAATATCGTGGAGAGATCTTATTCAGCTTGGTAGTTCTGAATCAGATATTCATCTACGGACCAGGCTAAAGGATATGGCAATTAACAACTGTGCATTGTTGGTGTACACGTCAGGAACAACCGGAAACCCTAAAGGTTAAATATCAAATACATTTTTCAATACAAGGCCGTGAAGCACTCCTCGTGTTTATTTGACTGTCTACGTAGTTGTTAAAACCCACAAAAGTAGTAACAAGGATTATAAACGTTTTTATTAGAACCATGCACGAAGGTAGCCCTAGCGCGTCTAATCTCAAATGACCCTTATGCATGCGAAGATGAAAATGCTCAATTCATAACCGTATCCTTAAAAGCTTTGTCTGAAGTATGAATTATAGAGGTCCATGTTTTTGAAACTGTTTATTTTCATTTGCAGTTTATCTCAAAAACTGACTTGCGCATTATTAGCTTAAACGGAGCAATTGATAAATTATCATGAATTATGATTAATCTTTTTTTCCGGTCAGAAAAACATAGGTATCTTCCACATTTTTATCCAATTAAGGTTTCAAAGGTACCTTTGTAAATCAGACAAGGTCATCTTTGCATTGAGGGTCCCTTGAAATTACGCTTACAATCCCTTTACCAGAGTAAGGCTTTGATTGGTTGGCTAAGAACTGTAATAATTGAAAAAACTAAAATTATTAGTAGCGAACAAAATAATCGTGTAAAGTTGAGGAGGTGGTTAGAAGGTAAAGGGAAAGGGTAAGAGAAGAGGTGGTTAGAAGGTATAGGGAAAGGGTAAGAGAAGAGGTGGTTAGAAGGTATAAGGAAAGGGTAAGAGAAGGGTATTAGAAGGTATAGGGAAAGGGTAAGAGAAGAGGTGGATAGAAGGTATAGGGAAAGGGTAAGAGGTGGTTAGAAGGTATAGGGAAAGTGGAAGAGGTGGATAGAAGGTATAGGGAAAGGGAAAAAGGTGGTTAGAAGGTATAGGGAAAGGGTAAGAGAAGAGGTGGTTAGAAGGTATAGGGAAAGGGTAAGAGAAGAGGTGGTTAGAAGGTATAGGGAAAGTGGAAGTGGTGGTTAGCAAGTATAGGGAATGGGGATGTAACGCAATGGAAGGCATCTGATTGAAGGGAAACACTTTTCCATGAAATCAGAGTGGAGACGCCAGTTTAAATATATTTTCTAAACGATTATAACTGGGATGTTTATTACATAATAAACATGTTGTTAGGAGCAATGATTTCTCATGATGCTGTTGTTAATTCTGCCAGATCACCACTTCTTTACTTCGGCTGGAGGTAAAAACTTATTCTTACAATCACAACAAATTGTTTGAAAAAACAGTATTGCCCCTTTTTTAAAAATACAAAAAAAGTTTTTGCGAATCTCTTCCCCCCCCCTCCCCCCGGCGTTAAAGATTTTATCTCCGTTTCCTTTTCATGGTTGAACTGGAACATGAACTACTTGTGACATTTTTCAACTGAAAAGTAACATTTGATAATATTTCGGTTTTAGGTTTGGACAAGAACGCCTGGTGTCATACTTACCACTCAGCCATATAGCAGGTACACACAGCCATATAGCAGGTACACACATGCCATATAGCAGGTACACTCAACCATATAGTAGGTACACTCAGCCATATAGCAGGTACNATGGACTAAACATATGTAACAAATACTATTCTACAAACTAGTTGCATGTAAACAAACAGGTTGAGAAAAATAACGAAAATAAGTTATTTTAATGTATTTATTTTAAATATCGCAGGTTTATGCAAATTCTTTTAGCTAGAATCGCTTGCTGGAGGTTTTCATTACTTTAATTGTGGGGACAACATCGATTCAGCATTAATTTCCCCCCCCCCCCTCAAAAAAAATAATGAAATTATAAAAAAAATAGTTTTAATTTCCTTTATTTCAGGGCAAATGCTGGATATATATTGGTCCATCACAACCGGTGCAACAACATATTTTGCAGACTCAAATGCACTCAAAGTATTAAAATATATATTTTCAATTATGAATCCGGTTATTTAAGATTTCAAGAATACACATATATATTTCATATTAAATAATTTCTAGGGAACTCTAGTTGACAACTTGAAGCACTTTAAACCGACAAGATTTTTGGGTAAATTTTATCAAAAAACCGAAAATAAAATATTTTACTAGAATTAAATTATATCTTCCTTAAGACTCAAAGTAATTGGGATATCTTTATTTAAAATTTTGAATTTAATATCAGTATTTTGTTTTTAAAGATACAATTATATAAATCTGGATATGAAAAGAAAACCCCTTTGAGCTTTTAAAAAATGTATTATACCAAGAAATCTGTCCCACCAACACTGATCAATGTTTAATTTTTCTTTTTCTCTTTAAAGACAAATTGTATTAACCAAAAAATAGCAGCCAAAGCTTTATCAATAAGTTCTAAAACTTCAAGTAGTTTCTAATAAAAAGTTCTTGAAAGAAAAGAAAATATTTATTCGTTCGGAATTTTGTGTGATTTTGAGGATGAACATTTGGTGTATTATAGGAGTTCCCCGGGTCTGGGAGAAGATAGAGGAAAGTATAAAGAGTGCAGGGAGAAACAATAAAGGTCTAAGCAAAGCAGTTGGAGATTGGGCGAAGGTATTGTAATCATGTCACATTGTACAAGTATAAAATTACTAGGCTTTTAGGGCGCTTCGCGCCCATCTTCTATTTAAATTGTGAACTTGTTCTTTTTGTTTACATTTTAAAACAAAGAAGAAAATTTTTTTTGCAAATTTTTAAAAAAAAATTCGCGGATTTTCAAGAATTTAAATTTTTTACAAAATTAAAAACCTTTAAAACAAATTTTTTAAATTTTATCATTCATATTCCTTCCCTGTGGTCACGTGATGTCCCACAACAAATTTGGGCCCGATCGGTTCAGCCGTTTTGACGTTTATTGGATACAAACAAACAGACATCCAGACAGACAAGCTAAATTTATATATAGACTAGGCTTTTAGGACGCTTCGCGCCCATCTTCTATTTAAATTGTGAACATGTTCTTTTTGTTTACATTTAAAACAAAGAAGAAAATAATTTTGCGGATTTTTAAAAAAAATTAGCGGATTTTCAAGAATTTAAATTTTTTACAAAATAAAAAACCTTTAAAACACATTCTTTTATTTTTATCATTCATAAACCTTCCCTGTGATCACATGAGGTCCTACAAAAAATTTGGGCCCGATCGGTTCAGCCGTTTTGACGTTTATTGGATACGAACAAATAGACAGACAAACAAAAAGACAAGCCAAATTTATATATAGAAGAAGTTTTACTTGTGATAAACCAAATGCACTTTTAGACAAAATTTAAAGAAAGTTAACTGCGACAAACTCTGATACTCTGATTCATATATTTTTGCAACCCATTATTATAAATATTTAATTAGATACTTATAAATCTATTAGATCAGATATTCTAAGTTTCAACACCACCAGGTTGGAAAGATATGGGGATTAGGAAATCTTACTTTGTGGCATAGACTCTGATTCCTTTAAGGCACAGTCTCTTAGTCATCATCTTGCTGTTGATGGTGGGTGTACAAATACAAGTTTACAGTACAAACTAGCATCTAAACTTGTACTTTCCAATGTACATAAGGCTCTTGGACTAGGTAAAGAATTATGAACTCATTTTGTAAATAAACTAAAAGCAATCCAAATACTGGTTTAAATTAATGGATGCGAGAGAAGTAGTTCAGCACTCTTATTGGTTAAAATAACTTTTGATCTTGGTCCAGCAGCTGACCCTGGTTCTTGTTTAACAGCATTTATAAGTTTCCATCTAACACCTCTCAGTATTATTTTAGCATTCGTTTAATAAAATCTAAATATCATGCAATAATAATTGTGTGGTACTAAAAATAATAAGTAATTATTTATTATCTTTATATAGCTTAATTCAATAAACATATTGTTTAAAAGATAAAGACTTTAATTGGAGAGACATAAATAAATATTCTTCGAATTTAAAATTTGAAAAATTTATAATTTTGAATTATCAAATATCATTTTAATTTTAACCATGGTAATTTTTCAGATGAAGTACACGACCTAGAAGTTGCAACTGGTATAAATACAACTAATTTTAAATATTTTTGATATGAAGAATATATATTTAAATAAACTTGTAGGAGGAGCCGCAACCCCAGCAGAAACTCATAAATACTTTCTAAGCCTAGGAATCAGGTAATTTAGATAAACCTTAAATCTATCATAAGAAGCAAACAGCTGAGTTTGGGATCCCAAATAGGATTTGAAATGGGGACAATGCGTGTCTCTCTTTTTGTTTGTTTCACACTCCCCCTAAAGGGAGAGACCGGCTAGATATGGTAGTTGAGCTGAAAGTACATATTGTAAAAAAAACTTTAGGATTCGTTTGATACCAATGAGACATTTTACGTTGTACAATTTTTAAATAAGAGTAGTAATGCCATTTTTAATATTTCACCTGCTGTTTCAGTCAGTAGTAGAAACGTTGTTTTTTTACTATTCTTAAATAACATGGACTAAACATATGTAACAAATACTATTCTACAAACTAGTTGCATGTAAACAAACAGGTTGAGAAAAATAACGAAAATAAGTTATTTTAATGTATTTATTTAAAATATCGCAGGTTTATGCAAATTCTTTTAGCTAGAATCGCTTGCTGGAGGTTTTCATTACTTTAATTGTGGGGACAACATCGATAATATTTCTGAGCCCGCGATTTAAAAGCTTCGGCCCGAGCCGTATTTCCTAAACCCCGACTTTGGGAGTTAGGCTCAATGAAAGTAAAACCGACCTTGGTTGGTTTTAGTGGAGAATAAGGTTCAGTGTTGAGCCTTGCTTTCATAAAACCCGGAATGCGCCAATTTCTACAATGAAAATCCGCCAAATAGAATATTAAGCCGGTTTTTTAACTCAACTCTGTGGAAAATTAGATGCAGCTTGAATCCGAAAGTTCAAGTCGTAAATAAAGCCCAACGACAGCTTAGACCCGAGCCGTATTTTCCCGAATTTTTTAAATCGTGGGCTCTGACGAAAATTGTTTCTAATTCGCAAATTAGTCCATATATATTTTTTTACATGTTTTATCCGGGTTATTAAATAATTGTATAAAAATATATCTTCTGCTGACTAAAACATCAGGTAAAATATTTTATAAACAACGTCATACTCTTATTTAAAAATTGTACACCGTAAAATGTCTCATCACGTTATCAAATAAATCTTAAAGTTTTTCTCTAAACTGCACTTTCAACTCAATTACCATGTCTAGCCGGTCTCCCCCTTTAAACAAACATTCACATATGTCGCCACTAATAGTGAGGCTATTAATTCTTAATCAATGAATACCTCTCCTACACTGTTACATGAGTATTAGTCCCAATGAATTGATTATAAATAATGACTTATTTATAGTTTATTGTTTCTAATTAGGTTACTTGATATCTACGGAAGTACCGAGAGCTCAGGTTGTGCGCAGGAATTTTTAATTAAGTATTAATATCAAGGGTTTATTTATGAAGATATCATACGATGTAGAAAAGAACACCAAGAACATGTGATCAAAAATAAGATGAAATAGAAACCAAAACTAAAAATGTTGGTTAAGACAGATCTATTTTCTTCCTGAAATCGAAATAATCATAAAACTTTTTAAATCAACGGATTTTAGGTGGACAATTAATAACTGATTTAAAATCAAAGGACAGTTGGCGTAATGTCAGGTGCAGACCCTTGATTTATAGAGTGGCTTATCCGATTCCTGACGGTACTCTTGAAACCTTTTCCTGATCAATGACAGCGAAAATATCCTGATTCTAACCTGTGGTTCTCGATAAGATATGAACTTCATGGTTATAATTACGTCACATCGTTTCCAAACTAGAATTAATATGAATCCATATATATTAGTTTTGAAGTATCCAAGGTCTTTAACATTAACATTGTACTGTACATATCGTAAATACAGGGTGTCCCATGAAACATGGTGAATATTTTAAAATATCTTCTTCCACAATTTGTTGCAGAGAAAAATGGATTTCAAAGTAAGATGTATTTTAATAAAATATGTTTAATGAAATGAAATGCAAAAAGTCTTTATCATCTAATACAGGATACGAATGAAGACATTCAAAACTATTCTACACAATAAATACGTCACTGTTTTGAATTGTGCATGCAGTTGTATGTTTAATTCATGATGCCACTCCATAAATGTCAAGTCACTTGACATCAGAGTCTAAAACTGAAGAACGAAAAGTTCTGACTTAAATTTTAAGTTCATGGTTAAATGCCACTTCTGACTTAATTTAAACCTGAACTTTAACCATGAGGTTAAATATTTAACCCTGTGGTTAAATATTTTACTCGCCGAAATCGACGACTTAAAATTTAAACACAGGGTTAAAATCTTGAAATCCTGCATTTTCCTTATTTGTCTATTATTCAATCATCATTCAGCTGAGAAAGCCGTATTCAACTTCAACGATATATTTAAAAGTGAAAACCTTGTTAAAGAAATTTCACGTTTTAGATAAATTAATTTTTGCATGTAAACCCAAAAAACTGTTGTAACTCGTAATATTGTTTTCGGTTACGTAATAACAGCTGATTAGCGATGGTTATGTAATATTCTCCGTAAATCCTTTTCTCTGATTGGTTCAGATTTTCCCGGGAAATTCAAAATTGAAATTGAGAAAGTTTAATATTTAAGTAGCTATTCATTATTTTACAGAATTTTTAACCTCGAACTTAAAATTCGCGCATTCTTTAGTTTTAGACTCTGGAAAGGGTGAAATGCTTAAATTATTAATGATTAGTCTGCCAGCCAACCAGGTCCAGGAAATAGTAGAATTGGAACTATTGGACGTATATTAGAAGGTAAACATACAAACCAGTATTTTATCCAGTAAAATGTTCTAAATAATATAGAAAACAAAATCCTTCATAACAACTTTATATAGATAGCTATAATACCTATATTTGTAGGCCAACTGGAAAACAAGCTGATTAACCAGGATAAGGACGGAGCAGGTCTTGAATTACTCCTATTAGGCTTTTTTTGTCTCAATATTGATTGATATGATTTTGCCCTTAGATTTATGATAGGGGAGTATAATACATGTTCCTAGTTAAAGTTTTTAGGCCAGATAATAAAAAATCACTCAAAGAGGAAGGGAAAGTCTAAGGCTGCTAGGTCATTTCCATCAAGAGTTTCTTAAATAGGAAGTTGTCGGAAAACAGCCCTGAGCTGTAAACTTTAGAATGGTGGATATCAGGATTAATCTTAATATCCAGATTAAATATGGCTTGTTTTCCTCATGAATTTAATCTCCAGATTAGTCAACAGATCGGGATTAAGGATATCCCATTCTAAAATTTCAGCCCTGGTACCTTAGGAACACACTTTTCCTTCCTTAGTAAATGCGGTCCCTCTTGTAAACAGTTCTCCGTGCCCTGTAATCTTGATTATTTCAGTAAATATATTAAACTATAAATTCAAGGCGCTTCGCGCCCTTTTTTCTAGGCTTAAGAAACAAATTTTGCGGATTTAAAAAAGAAAATTCGCGGATTTTCAAGAATTAGAATTTTTTACAAAATTAAAAACCTTTAAAACACATTTTTTAAATTTTTTTAATTCATAAACCTTCCCTGTGGTCACGTGATGTCCCACAAAAATTTGGGCCCGATCGGTTCAGCCGTTTTGACGTTTATTGGATACAAATAAACAAACGAACACCCAAACAAACAAACACCCACCCAGACAAGCCAAATTTATAAATAGATGTTACAGACTTCAGTTTCGGTGTCAAATTAAAGAGAGAAAAAAATCTTGTGACTATCTTTGTTTAGCTACAAATTAATTGATTAATTGATCAATTGATCAGGAGAACTGGTGTCCAGGGGAAGATCAATGTTTATGGGATACTACCAAGATCAACAAAAAACAATGGAGGTTATACAGTTTCTTTTGTCCAGACCTGCACACCGAAAAAAACTTGACAAAAATATGAAATTATATTTTTGCCCATGTGATAAAACAATTTAAATTAAGCATGGTTTAATTAATTTATTAAATGACAAATTGATAAATGGATTTTTCACATTTATTTAATGAATTTGAGATTTCCTTGTTTAAGACGATAGATGATGAAGGATGGGTGAGAAGCGGGGATATTTGTGAACAAGATTCAGGAATTTTATCCAGATTTAGAATTATCAATTTCATGATTTCACAGATACAAAACTCTCTAAAATTACAATCCCTAGTTTACATTTAGTCTTGTGTCCTGAATGTGGTCTTGAAATGGCTATATTAATGATTTTGCAAAAAAGGAAAGAAGTTTATAGTTTCAGGAAATCATTATTATCATTAAATAGACAGTATACATTCCATGAAGTCATCTCTGAAGTCTCATCCTTTGCGGGTAACCCTGTATGTCAAGAGGACAGTTTTATAATAGTGTATAATGTTAACCCAACCAAGGGTTCATCCATATGAACATAGTATCATATAAGCTTATTGCGCCCAGTGGGAGAAATAATGCCTAACAAAAGCAACCTAAGAATAAAGCCAAACAATCCAGATTCTTCTCAAAACGGTATCCAACCCAGAGTATATTTGCAGCCTTAAATACATAACAGGGTAGACGGACAAGGGTATTGAACCCCCTTTTTCATCTAGAGATAGCAAGTAATGGTCCCGTTTAGAGAGCACTTAAAGGGTAGCTACGGGTAAGATCAATGCTGCATATAACGCCACACAACATTCTTCTACATTGTGCAGTCTGATGATGATCACAATCTCTACCAGTTTTTTACAGATCAATCACTCAACCAATCAAGCAACAGATCACCGGAACACAGGAGCAACATCAATTCTCCGGAGCAAGATTTTAATAGTCATTTTGATGTTGAGGAGATTTGAGAAGGAGAACTAACACAGATACAACAGGATCAGGATGAAACAATAAAAGAGGATCAAGTGACCTACACAGCTACACAATAAAAAAAAAGCGAATCGAACATGAGACACAAAAAGAATCAAGACCAGAATTAAGGATTACAGAAGAGATAACATTGTCAACAACAACAGGTTCATCAAGGTCAGGAAACAGAAGATCAGGAAAGAGTAACCAAGACAAAAGAAAAGTTTGATCCCTCTCCAGGACGAAGAAATCCGAGGACACCAAGGACCAAGACAGATCCAGGAGTGCCTTCAGTTCCCACAACATTAATGACATAAAGTTCCTCAATTTGAAGACCATAAGATCTGCGTGCAGAGAAGCATGGGAGAAAACTCTTAAGCCAAAGGTTACCCCTTCGTCAACGAGGAGAAGGAGCACATCAAGGGAGAGCAGAGCATCAACCAGCACAAGAGCAGCATCGTTAGCCATCTTACCCCCAGGGTCCCCCAGGACTCAGCATTTAGCACAAAGCATATGATCAGAAGAATCAAATGGAAACATATTCGCCCCAGGCAAATATCTTGTGGATTTAGATCAACTTCAGTTGTTCCAACTATGGTTATAATGTAAAATCTAGCTTGTTGTGTAACCATGCTTTATTATTCCACTCCATATTGACTTTTTAACACTGAATTCTTTTCAAGTCTATAATATTAATAACACAAACTATTCCAGTTTTAATAATTATACAATTTTCCAAGTCTTGAAATTAGGGATGAGGCTTATTCACTGTTAACCAAAATATGCATGCTCTGGCGCCAAAAAAAAATCAGGATTTTGCCATTTTCTCTTTTCAATCTGACCCTCTTAGTAAGAATTGAGAAAAATGTTAAAATAAATCTAAAATCTTGATGATTATAATTTGAAGACGGATTCTACACAATAGTGGGTAGATCAAAGGAGATTATAATAACTTCAGGTGTTTATAAAATTTTATTATATTGCTGAAAAATTTGATCTATGACGAAATTTTGAAATGAATATGCCCCTAATTGTTTCTTCCTAGGAGGGGAGAATATTGCTCCAGTAAATATTGAGGACAATATAAAGAGAAGTTTACAATCCCTGATCAGGTTAGTAGAATTCTTTAAAAGAAAAAATCCGCCAAACTCTTTTCTTTGTGAAAAGTTCAGAAAGTTTCACGAAAATCAATTGATAAATCAAAGAGTTACCACAAAAATCCACTAAAAATATTATTACAAATAAGCTTCAAATCTCACCCTATATCTTACAAAGATGTTTTTTCCGAAAAAATGTTGTTAAAAATGTAATTCATACAAATGGAAGAATTTGACCAGAGTAAATACAGATTTGCAATACAAAATTTTCAATAGAATCATATCAAATGTTCTAATAAATTTCTTAAAAGAAAAATAATATCAAACTTTGTAAAAAGCATAAAGAATCAAGAAAATTATGAAGGACCAATCTTGTAGCAACCCTAGTTTTTAAACTTTTAATTGATACGTTTTGATTACAGTGCGAGAGTAATTACTTCTTGGTTAGCGAGTGGGAAGCGTCCTGAATCACTTTCTTTAAAGTTAGATAAAGATTGGGAATTGATATAGATTGTATCTGGATTGAAATTGATAGTTAAGGATTGATACAGATAAAGTCATGTCCAAATTGATATTGATACTAAAGTATTGTTGAACTGACTAGTTCTTATGCCTCCCCAATCATAGCGAATGGGATTGAGTAATGAGTATTGATACAGATAAAGTTGTGTCCGGATTGACATTGATAGTAAAGTGTTATTGATCTGATTAGTTCTTATGCCTCGTGTAGACCAACAAGAGGGATTGAGTTGTACCTGGATTGATACAAATCTAACAGGATTTATTGGAGTAGGGCATTTACTACAATATCTCTTTCAGTGGTCAATAGAATCATATAAAATGTTCCAAATAATTTCTGAAAAGAAAAATATGTTCAACAAAAAAACGTTTCGTGGAATTTTTCATACGAATTTTTCCTGCATTTTTATAATTACATATAGTTTGATATTTTTTAGCCTAAAAAATGAACCCTAAATTATTTGTAAAAACATTTGTCTATTTAGTAACGTAATGGTTATAGGGGATCACCGAAAATATCTATCCTGTTTAATAGCTTTAAAGGTAAAAATATTTTTTTTATGAAATAATGAAATAAGCTGGGAAATAATTCTAACATTTTTTTTAAAAGCAATCCAAAGCGGATTCAAGGGGTTGGAGGGGGAGGAGGGGGGGGGATTGGAACATCCCCCCTTCCAATTAGTTTTTGTGTGACCAATGTTCCTCTTGAGAATATACTGAATTAAATTATTAATATAATTATTAACCCTATTCCTGTTGGGGGGGGGGGATCAATTTGACCCCCCCCTGTAGTTTTTTTTAAATAACTCAAAAAGTATTGGTCTGAGGCTGTTGAAATTTTCTGACTTTTCCTACATACCCAAAGCCCTCCTTTTAGGCCTAAACCGGACTTTAATGATAACTGCCTGAGTCCTCAGGCACACTGTCTGAATGACTGCTTTTTCCTGTAACAAACTAAATCTTTGTTTTGACCTTTTTCCACTTGTCAGATTTTAATAAAATTTTGTTTTTTGGAAAGCCTTTGACATAAGGAAACAAATTGCACAAGTTTTGCGAAAAAAAATTGCAAATTTTTTGCAAACAACCTGTCACAGGAAATTTGCACATTTTTAGTTTTTCTTGATTAAAAATCAAGTTATTTAAAATTTTGCAAAAATTTTTGCATATTTAAAATAGCATGGTCAAGGGATTTTCAAAAATGTATAATTTTTTATTTTTTGGACACATTTTTTTTGCAAACATTTTTACAATATAACTGGATTTTGCGATAAAAAAATCAATTTTTCCAAATTTGCAAATTTTTTTCCAATGATGTATCATTTGTCATATTTGGACATCAAACATGGGATCTAGAGGGGGGGGCAAATTGCCCCCCCCCCCCAGAATATCCTGGTTTTCAAGTACCCCAGCAGAGATAGGGTTAAAAGGATATCATGTGAATGTGATGTACGGTAGCTCAAAAGGGGTTTGCTGCACTAAATTAAACCATATATGTATAAATGAAAATGTAATGATAAGCTAGAATATTTTACAAAAAAGTTTAATTTCTCTAAACTATAAAATATATTCTCCCGCGAAATACCGCCATGTTGCTATACCTTAGTGGAATTTAAAGAATTTGAGTCGCGGTTTAAATCTGCCAAAACCCAGTTTAAATTAAGCGCCGGCTTAAATCTTGAAACCATTGATACAATTTTAAGTGGAACCAACCTTATTTAAGCCACGGCTTAAATTTAAACCGCCGCTCAAATTCTTTAAATTCGGCCACTGGTGGTTTCTATACGAGCTGTTATTATAGTGCTTGACTCCGATTTTACTTGGCGCAATTGCGGGCCCTTATATTCCGCGCAATTCCTCACAAATCTGCAATATTCAGCGCACTGATATTACGATTGGAAGGCCCACTTGTCCAACCTTTAAATATTTCCAAAAATGTATTTTAATGATTGGACATGATTAGAATACAGTGAAACCCTTAATAAAGAATACATCGAAAGAATTCATCAAATGTCGTATTCTTCACTTTCTGATAATGGAATGTTGCAGATATTTAGTTTTATAATTAAATGATTATATTTAACTCTTAAAAACTGTTCCCGCATATTCATGGCTATTTATTTTTTTCGTAAATTCTGAAATTTACGTAATAAAGTATAAAACTCATTGAAAAATTGTCAAGACGACATATGATAAATTCTTCCTATGTATTCGTTATTAAGGGTTTCACTGTATGAAGAGTAAACATGAAATAAACAGAAATCTAAACCTACACTCTGTCTGTCCAAACTCAAGATGTGTGCTTTACGCGTCCAGATTCCCTGTAATATATTTTACTGTGTTTATTTCTAATTAGGTTGTTGTTGACCCCGTAACTATGCAACCAACAAGGTAATATTTATATTGTTTCATCAGGTACAAGAAATAGGAATACATGTATTTGACGTCGCGTCTGTTTGGTAGAAACAAATACAAAGACAATTGTCGAGCTACTGGTCTAAAATATCAATAAATGTTGCATGATTCGCCATAACATTAATACTAATTTTTGACCTAATAGTAATAAATATAAATAATACAAATATTTGTTTTTATTTGTACAGATATATATTTACATATTATATATATTGGTCATTTTCTCATATATTGAATTTTAAAAGATTGTTTTAAGGATGTTGACAGAGCAAGTTCTGGAAATTCTAGATCAGCTGAATATTCCTAGAGTAGAGACAACAGATCAGCTTTTAGCTAGGTAACTTTCTAGAAATCCTTGATTAGGTTCTAGCCAGGCAATTATCTAGAAATCCTAGATCAAGTTCTAGCCAAGTATGTATCTAGAAGTTCTAGATCAGGTTAAAGCTAGGTAAATATCTAGAAATTCTAGACCACGTTCTAGCCAGGTAAATATTTTGGAATCCTAGACCAGGTTCTAGTTAGATAAATATCTAGATATCCTCGATCAGCTTCTAGCCAGGTACATATCTAGACTTCCTAGATCAGGTTCTAGCTAAGTAAATATCTAGGAATCCACTTAATCAGCTTTTGGCCAGGTAAATATCTAGGAATCCTTTTAATCAGCTTTTGGCCAGGTAAATATCTAGGAATCCTAGATTAGGTACTAGCTAGGTAAATATCTAAATATTCTAGATCAGGTTCTAGTTAAATAAATATCTAGATATTCTAGATCAGGTTCTAGCCAAGTAAATATCTAGATATACTAGATCAGGTTCTAGCCAGGTAAATATCTAGATATACTAGATCAGGTTCTAGCCAGATTAATATCTAGATATTCTAGATCAGCTTCTACTTGCTTCTAAATATCACTGAAAACTAACCAAAAGAAGAAGGTCAATCATGCGAAATTACTTTGACGACTTTGTAACCTCGTAGCTTCTCTAGTTTTAAATTTATCTGGTTGCATATACGGTCAAATTCAAACATTGTTGTTCTTCAAGCAGAGATGTTATGTTTGTATCGTAAACAATTTAAATCTTGAGTGTAACTTACTTCTATCCAGGTAAATATCTAGATCAGCTTCTAAATCTTGAGTGCAACTTACTTCTAGTCAAGTAAATAACTAGATCAGCTTCTAAATCTTGAGTGCAACTTACTTCTAGTCAAGTAAATATCTAGATAAGCTTCTAACAAGGCGCTGGGCAACGCTTTGTTAACGAAACGGAGGTTTTAAAATTACATTTTTTACGTTTTTTGATGTTTACAGAATTTCCTTAACGTTTTTCCAGCTATTTTTATACGTCAAGGCTGGCACCGTTAACGATTTGTAAGATAACTTCCATTAACGCCGTCAATAATATTGAGATCGTTAAACAACGGAAATTATCGCTAACGAAACGAAAGCTTAAAAAAGATTATGTAACGTACGTCCGCTAGATTGTGAGAAAAAATTGTTTTTTTAAATCCGTCAAATCTACTTAAAATATAGTACCGATAAATCTTTTAAATTATTTAAGTTCAAGTCTGGAATGCCTGGAGAAGTATATAGAAGAGGGGATATCAAGAGCTAACCAGAATGCAATTTCAAATGCAGCCAGGGTGAGTCAAAAAATATATAATAATCACAAATTTGAAATTGTTTTTTTTTATGTAAAACCAATGTTTAGGTGCAGAAATGGCGGATTTTAGAAGACGACTTTTCTGTACAAAGTGGTGAATTTTCGCCAAGTCTGAAATTGAAGCGATTTTATGTGCACAAGAAGTACATGGACTTGATAGAAAGCATGTACTCCCAATAGTACATCAAGCAAAGAAATGTTTAAACAATTTGTTAAAATATTTTATTAAAAAATAAATTTTGCAGTGGTCAACATAGATAATAAAGTAGGTTTGAAAAAAATGAAAGTGATTGAGTTGAAGAAGAGAAATAATGGGGATCCTTTCTTACTATATGTACATAGGACAAACATGATATTTGATAGGCAGGGTTTTACACCTAAAACCATTATGATTTGTCCAATTGAAAGTATAGTTTTGATATGCATGTAAGGTTTAATAACTATGAATGTGAACACATTGTTACTGTATGCATTGACTCCAGTTTACATTCAGGTTTGTGAATAGTATAAAGTTCTTAAACAGGACACGGTTTTAATATATGGGTTTTGCAAAGAAACATCCAAGCCTAATTATGCATAGTTTCTAGGCAGTGAATAGCTATAGCATATATCTCTCTCTCCGCATGATAAACTGTGGGTGGGGACAGAGAATACGCATAGCCATGAAAACAAAGAAACTCGGGTCTTTCTGAAGATTATTTATATAGAGAGGGGGGTCAGATCAAATCTTTTCGTCACAAACTAGTCTATCATGTCAATCGTATTTAGTGAGATTTTGATTTTTCATTATAACCTTTGATATATCAAACTTATATTATTTGATCCAACAAACTTCATAGTTTGAATTATCCAAGTTCTACGATTTTGGGTTTTAAAGATATAGGGATTGAAAAACCAGAGCTTGTGGCAAAGACTTAATAAAGATTAAATATTTCTGAAAAAAAATGAGTACAAAAACACTTACATTTATTTTAAAAAGTATATACCAGAACAAATATAAGATTAATTTCTATACATTGTAACAAAATAAGCATTATAAACTTACAAAATTGTGTCATAAAATACAAAAAAGGTTGTAATATGATATGTAAAGTTGGTTTGTAAATAGAATTAGTTATTTTGTTGACTCAGAACTCAGTAAAACATTGTTCACCTCGATACAAGCCAAAGGACGTCGAACAATTGTAGCCGTCACATTGTAGAAATCTTGTAAAAGAAATGGTTGCCAATTATGGGCTGTTCTTCCCATGATCTGTATCAAATTTAGATGATTTACGCCCACTCCTTTTTTCTTTTTTTCACCCCCTACCAAGACTTGTTCTCTCGCCCAACCAAGAGGAAACATGACGGGAACAGGAAATTCTTCTTGATACAACCATTCTTTGTTTGCTACACATGGTTCGTAATCATATGTGTCAGAATGAACAATATACTTTTTTCCAACCTTGCTAGTTGGTTTCTTCTCTTGGTCCAAAGAAAGATTGTTCAGAGCAGTGTTTACAGCATCTCTCAGCAATAGTCCAGATTCCAGATTGTCCCTTGAATGCATATCATAATTTTCATTACTATCAGTATTCTTGGTTCTTGGTGGAAAGTTCTTCATAGGCTGAAAAGCATTGAACAAATCAGATTCAGTGGAAGTGAATTTAAACTCCTTCTCAGGACCAAGATTCGACATTTTTAGTTGTAGGTAACAAATGAAGTGTACACGTTGTACTCGTAGATTTTACTCTTTAATTTCGCAGATTACTACTTTTTAATTGGTTTCATAAGGATTATTGATTTCTATGCAATATATACTTTGTAAGTAACTGAGGTTGCGTGGTTTTCTAAAAGTTAAACGAAATTTCAGGCATAAGTTAGAATTATTTTTTTAAAGAATTCTATAATATAAAAAAATATTTTCAAATAGCTGCATCTTCTTTTTTTAAAAAATGTCAATTATTACTCTAAAATTCAACATGTCACTTTGAATAAAATAGAAATAAAAATTGAAAGTCTTTAAAACAGTGAACTCACCATAAAACTATTAAACCTTGGAAAACATTTCTCTACTCTTTCGTTTTCAAAAGCTTAAGATTAAAAAAATTTATTTTTCTATTAAACTCCCAAAATAAACGGTGTTTCGTAAAATGGTTTTCCATATCCTTGAGCACTTTTCATCTGAACACAATTTCTTTTTGATTGCATTTAAAATATTAGAAAAATTGATAATAAAAATGTATATTTAAATAATCAGTCTTATTAAAAAAGAAATGGTTCCTTTTGTAAGGTAGCATTTTGAATGCAACTAAACGCACAAGAGGCCAACCTAAAATCAAACAGAAATAATATCGAAACAATTAAATTTTAATGAAAAAGAAAAAACTGATTAACCTGAGTTCTCGATTTAAATAAGTTTTCGTTCTAGGATTACAGACTTCAGCCAATTTACGGTTATCTTAAAAAGTATAAAGACATGCTTAATAAGAGAACCATTAATTTTAAATGCATGAATACCTTGGATTCGAATATGTTCATTTAGATTGTCGTTAATGTCAATCGCTCTCTCTGTTAAAACTCTTCACCCTGTACTGTATTGGAGCTGATACCATGGATATACTTCACCCTGTAATGGAGCTGATACCAGGGATATACTTCACCCTGTATTGGAGCTGATACCAGGGATATACTTCACCCTTTATTGGATCTCATACCAGCGATATACTTCACCCTGTATTGGAGCTAATACCACGTATATACTTCACCCTGTACTGTATTGGAGCTAATACAAGGTATATACTTCACCCTGTATTGGAGCTAATACCAGGAATAAACTTCACCCTGTATTGGAGTTGATACCAGGGATATACTTCACCCTGTATTGGAGCTAATACTGGGGTTATACTTCACCCTGTATTGGAGTTAATACCAGGGATATACTTCGCCCTGTATTGGAGCTGATACCAGGGATATACTTCACCCTGTATTGGGGTTGATACCAGGGATATACTTCACCCTGTAATGATCTAATACTAGGGATATACTTCACCCTGTATCGGAGTTAATACCAGGGATATACTTCACCCTGTATTGGAGCTAATACCAGGTATATACTTCACCCTGTATTGGATCTAATGCCAGGTATATACTTCACCCTGTATTGGATCTAATACCAGGGATATACTTCACCCTGTATTGGATCTAATACCAGGTATATATACTTCATCCTGTATTGGATCTAATACCTCGGATACACTGAAGTTGATAGGTTTGCAGCAAGATATCTTGAAGGGTCTCTAATACCTGGGATATACTGCAGTTGATAGGTTTGAAGCAATATATCTTGAGGGGTCTCTAATACCCGGGATACACTGCAGTTGATAGGTTTGCAGCAAGATATCTTGAAGGGTCTCTGGATACACTGCAGTTGATAGGTTTGCAGCAAGATATCTTGAAGGGTCTCTAATACCTGGGATATACTGCAGTTGATAGGTTTGCAGCAAGATATCTTGAGGGGTCTCTGAACAAAACAAAACAAAATCAAAATAGTTCTAAATATAACTTTTAGGATAGGAAAACGACATAATAAACACGGTTGCAGGCCGCTTTGTGCCTTCCCTGGTCTACATACTATATACTTTCTCTCCTATTCGCACAATGATACGAAAAAGTCCTTCAATTTATCCCATTTTTCAAGATGTAGTATTGTAGAGAAAGAACCTGTAGAAACTTTCCCTTGGACCAGCCAGCTTTTTCTTGCATGAAAATAGTGCAAAACTATAAAGAAATTATACTTAAAAGTGCTTCTAACTCTACTTAAATATTTTTATTAATAATAAAAATTCTGTTTGGTTTGGCAACTTTTTTATGCAGAATCTTTCTACTTTCTGTAAGGTTTTACATTGGTATGTTTAAGGATATCTGTTATTAATAATTATTTTGACTTAAACTCTTCACAAAGTGAACATGTCGGTTTAAGAAAGTTTTAGATAAATATATGTAATCACCAAGAACAAAAAGTGTAAGGTTTATGGGACGCTTTCAAAAAATTCAAAAAAAATATTTCTTACACCCCTAGGCTTATTACGTCAACATAATTCACCAAAACCATACTGCAGTCCTTCAATTATAATTCAGGGAAATTTTCATCTTTCTAAACATCCCTGGGAGAGATTTTACCAATGCAAATTTTATCTGGAAACCAATATAAAAACTTTATTAAAACGTCCCAATCTTAAAGTATGAAAAGGGAGAAAAAAAATCTTTTTTAAAAATTCAGAGAAATCTGGAAGAAATGTTGATAAGCCGGATCCAAATAATTTTATATTTGACCCAAAATAAAGTATTTGTTTGGGCCCAATTTTTTTTTAAAGTAACTTAATTAAGAATGCTGGCTTCATTTTTTTTACCTGCAGGTAAAGATTGAAGAGTAAGGGATTGATGGCTTAGATGATCGTGAGAAGGAGTTGAATGAATTCACAGTAGAAGATGAAGATTTATAAGAAGGTGGTTCAAAGTTCTGTTGATCGTATACCATAGTGTTAGCTGTTTTTGTTAAAATTGGCACCCAATAAGTCGCACAGCAGTCCTTGTGTTGAAGACGGCCATTTTGAATTTTTTGTTGAGCCTGGTACTTTTGGTCACGTGATTCATTAAAGTTATAACTATAAGTTGGTGTGGTTTTACTGGGTAAGTCATAATTGTTATATTTATTGGTTGTGCTCAATTGAGTTGGTTGAAATGTTGGCAACATGGGGACATCATGCTGTTCCCATAGTTTTGGCTTATTGTGTTGAACAGGCTGAACCGCTGTGTTCTCTGAAAATCTGCTTCTTGTTATATCCTCTCTTTAACAAATTTTTTTCTGGTTTTTATATTTATATATTATTTTATCTATGTGTATCATATTGTTCTTTAGTTTGAAAAACTGTGAAATAATAAAATAATTGTCGTCTTTCATCTTCTTAATCAAGAAAATTCGCAAATAATTTTGTAATTTGTAATTGTTACAAAGATGACATATAAAATTTAATAAGAATAATAATATAAATAAAGAAAGGAAACGGTCACCATTCCACTGTTTTCTGATTACAAGTTTCCAACGGTATGTTAAAGTTAAGATTTTTTATTTGTTTGTTTTTGCCTTGTTTCTTGTCGAGAGAGTGGAATGAATCTGCTTGTGTCAGGAGCTAAACAAAAATTAGACCACCTATCATATATTTTAAATGTGTTTGAAAACTCTAGATTTAGGAGAAAAAACACTTTGTTTTAAATGCTATTGTTAAAAAAATTATTAATGAAATACTAATTGATTAAATTCTGTTTCTTTGGCGTTATAGATATTCTAAACCTTGTGAAAAAGAGGACGGAGAAGTCCGTTTAAAAAAATATATTATTTTTGTAATTTTGGAGAGAGAAAAAAGTCTAATAAGTAATAATAATATCAAGTTTCCCTTAATGTCTTTTCTTTTTAAAGTATTTAATTTAGATAATTCTTAAATGTTTTTCTGCAGTAGAAATGCGCACCATTGAAAAGAAACTACAATACAAAAGTACAAGCATATTTTTGGCTTTGAAGAAGGTTAAATTATACCTTCAGTTCTATAACTGGGTCTTAGATAATCAAACTCATCTCGTTTAAGTAATCTGAAACAAAAATATCATTTCAATATAAGTCGTGATTAGGAGGCACAAAAGGGAGGAGGGGAGGGGCAAAAGGGAAGAGGGGGGGTAAGAGAGTGAAANGCACCGTAAGGCCACAAAAAAATTTTATTTTTTATTTTAATGTTATACATTCTTTTCTTGGAGATTTAATGCTAAATTCAAATCTGAAAAGCATTTTAAAAAATTGAAAATTCAGAGAGTCAGAGCTAAAAAACTCATCAAAGTTTAAAAATTGGAATTTAGTACCGTTATTTGGCCATAACTTCTTTAGATTTTAATATATTTAAAAATGATTTTCGAATCTGAATTCAGCATAACATTTCCAAGAAAATGATGTATCATATTTATTTTTTGCAAGATACAAGACAGGAAAACACTCCTAATTTTCAAATCATCAATCAGATCAAGGTATACACGTTATCATTGGGAATCGAGCATGGCCCTCTTTTAATGGAGGATCACTTGAAATCATCATCGTGTATTTGACGAGCTTAAAAAATAGACATGTTTTTGGACACTTCATAAAAAGAGTTAAAATTCGGCAAGGCAAACCACTTTTGCATGTGGAGCAGTTATAGTTCTAAATTATTTTAGATTAGTTTAGGGTTATTTTTTTCTTTTTTACGCAATGCAGACTGACCCTTTTCTTCTTTCTAACAGAATTCATAGTTTAAAATATCTAAGGTCTACAACATTGGGTAGCAAATTTGTGGCGAATTTTTATTTTTTTTTTATTTTTTTTATTTTACTTACAAAGTGAGTAAAAAAGCGGAATTAGCTTTAGTTTTCAAACCACAATGTTTGGTGTTAAAAATATTAAATATAGTAAGACAAGTGCTAAATTTTATTTTAAAACAAACAACGCGAAATAAAATTATTTAACATTTTTTTTTCTTTTAAAAAAAAAGATTAAAAAATCAGTTATTTTTCTTTTCTAAAGTTTCATAAAAATCTATTGATGAATAAAACATAACACGCATTTTCCATTTGATAAAATATTGTCGCATTTTAGTAAGTATCTACAATCTACATTTCTAAATTTTTCTACCTAAAACATGAATCATGCCAACTGAAGTTATGACTTCAAGTAGTCAAATAAACATGAAACACAGCAATTGTGTTTGTTCACACTCACAGACCCGTTCCACTTAATAAGTTGATTTTTTTGCAATTAGTAAATTATTTGCTTTTTAACAGAAAATGCATATGTAAAATTTCTTAATGTCGTATTCCTTTTCAAGAGTTTTAGTGGGTTCCATCAAACAATGGCAAATCTAAACCTTTAATGTCCAAGAAACATTTATAAGATTTGAATTATCACTAATAGCATGTTACAAAAAAAAACTCGTTTACACTTTAGAAAGGAACTAAGTTTTTTTTTCAAATTTACTAATCCCTATATCTTTCTAACCCAATGGTTTGAACCTTGTATATTTCAAAATTAATGGTCTACGACATCGAGTTGCAAAGATATATTAAATGAAAATTAGAGTTTTTGGCATAAGCTTATTTTCTTTAAATTTGATATGAAAAACCATTAGTCTTTGCTCTTATAATCATCAGTCGAATCTCGATACATTGATATATTAGAGACGTTTTGAAATGTTTTGATTGACAGAATTATTGTTACGCTTTTGAAATTAAAACTCAGCCCTTATAGTCTAACGTTTTATGAACTAACATTTTCATCAGACATATATCTAACGTTAGACTAATCAATTTAGTATTCAGAGAAAAGTTATGAAACGTTTTGATTTACAGAATTACATTTTTTTATACGTTACATTGTTGAAATTTTACTCTGTAAAAAAACTTTCGTTTCCTGATTATTGAAATAATAACCCATTTCTGCAACGTTGAATTTTTCATTATACTATAAGGGAAAACGTTTCAAAACGCTTTCATAAACAGTAATGCATTTTTCAGTTATACAACGTTACACTTTTTATAAGTTGAACTTTGAAATAGAAATCACTTCGTTACAATATTCAATCAAATCATAATTCATTTTTCAAACGTTAGACTTTCAAGCTCCCTTTGGAAACAAAACATTTCTTTACGTTATGGTCAAAAAAGTTGTAGATATTAGAAAAATAACGTTACATTTCCACAAAACGCTAACGTTGGGGGTATATTCCTCTAACGTTAACGTTTAACGTTAACGTTAGGTATGAGCTCCTATAACGTTAACGTTTAACGTTCACGTTATATAGAATATATCCAAACGTTACACATTATTGTAACGTAACGTACAAAAACGTACATTTTACGTTACGTTACACTATCGTTGACATCTCTACTGCAGTATCCCTTCTGTGCTCCCTTTATTGTAAGCAATCTCTAACAGTTAATGAGAGGGGAGAAACTAAGAAAAAAATGAGAAATGATGGGGGGGGGGGTACAATTGGATTTATGCTATACCTTGACTCTCTAGAAATTTTATTCATATCTTTATATTTAATCTCTAGTTCTCATATTTAATCTCTAGTTCTCATATTTAATCTCTAGTTCTCATATTTAATCTCTAGTTTTTATATTTAATCTCTAGTTGATGAGCCTGCTCTAGAACTGCTCTATAGTTGGCTCGACATCTATTCTCACTTCTCAGATCTCTAAAATATAAATTTCAATTTGACTCTTATTTTGTACTGAATCTGTGTTTTATGTATATATATCAAATCATTGCAATTAAGAAAATTTTACCTATATCTCAAGTTTATAATTAAAAAAAAACTAAGGGTAAAGGTAGGAAGTGGAATTCTATTTTTATGTTTTGAAGAAAAACCCCCAGGAGGGGGGTTGGAAAACACCCCTCCCTCCCGTGATAGGGTTCAGAATATTAAAAAACTAAGAAAAAACATTTAGCCTTTATGTTAAGCAACATTATAAGTTTTACTTTAGGATAATAATTAGCTAGCTTTGAGTTAATTGCACTATTTTCTAATTTATTGACGTACAACGGTACAATCCGTACAACTTACCTAAAACTGGCAGATTCGGCTGTGTACGGGGATTCTTCGTCCTCCTGTACAGTACGGCATTTATAGCTGGACTGGCTGCTTCGCTGTACAGGCTCTCTACAATAAAACATTTACAGAAAATTATTATAAGAAGAAAATTATTATAAGAAGACGATCTGAAATAAATCAAAACAATGTTTTCATATCAATTTAAGGATTAATTGAAATTACAAATTCTTCTCAGTTTGGCCAAATTGCATAAAATATGCACTTAAAAACTACTATCAACCCTAGCATGAAAATTGTTTCAAAGAAGGAGAAAATTTACCTGTCGCCTATAACGGAGAGAGCCTTCTCATAATAATTTAGACTTGGAGTCGGAGATCTGAACGATCTATGAAAAACAATATATTATAAATACATACAATACCAGTTGAATTATCTTCAGGCTTTAACATCAAAAACTCCTAAAACCAAAAAAAAAATGTTCACTCAAATTCAGTGTGGTAACTTTTTTCAAAGAAATATTAACTTTTATATTTTTTCAAGAATTTGTTAAATCACCTGAGAGGAACAGATTGGGCCCTTTCACTGAATCTATAAAAATAAAAATTTAAAATGTTAATATGGTGGTAAAAGTTTTTTTTGGTTCTTAAAAATTATTTGACCTCGAGAAAGGAGTTCTGTAAGAGTGTGCTACAGGAAGGGGGTGAGGGAGAAAGGAGGGAAGAAGGGAGGGGGGGAGGTTAACCCCCCTTCCCGGCCCTCCTCCTGAGTTATACGAGTATTCACCGGTCGCAAAAATCTAGAAAGTAAATTTTGTTTTTGTATTTATACAATTTAGATTTTAATAAGATTTCAAAATCAAGGAAGCAAATTTTTATTTATTTAGATTAAATCTAAAATTTGAAAAAAATTTAGTTTGTATTTAGTAATGTAAAAACAAGAAAAAAGTAACCAAACAAATAAATTTTCCCAAAGACTTGCTTTAAAAGCTGCTTACCGTCATGTTCTTTCTTATCGTTTTCAGTCATCAAATTCCATACCCTAGAGAAAAAAATTCAAAACAGATAGTTAGGCTATTTTTTACATCTAATTAATACTATAAATGTATCTTGGAAAGATAGACTAGTTCATACATTTAGTTCCATATGGGGTACTTGAAAACTAGAATATGCTGGGGGGGGGGGGTCAATTGACCCCCCTCCTCTAAATCCCATGTTTGATTTCCAAATATGACAAATGATACATCATTGGAAAGCTCTTGTGCTCTACTTTTAGAATCTGCATAAATTTCCATATTTGCAAAAATTGAATTTTTTATCGCAAAATCCAGTTAAATAGTTAAAATGTTTGCGAAAAAGAATTTGCCCAAAAAAATGAAAAATTATACATTTTTGAAAAGCCCATGACCATGCAATTTCAAATATGCAAAAAATTTTGCAAAATTTTAAATAACCTGACTTTAAATCAAGAAAAACTAAAAATGTGAAAATTTCCTTTACAGGTTGCTTGCAAAAAATTTGCATTTTTTTTTCGCAAAACTTGTGCAATTCGTTTCCTTATGTCAAAGGCATTTCAAAAAGCTAAATTTGATCAAAATCTGACAAGTGGAAGTGGGTCAAAACAAAGATTTAGTTTGTTACAGGAAAAAGCAGTCATTCAGGCAGTGTGCCTGAGGACTCAGGCATTCAGTATTAAAGCCCGGTTTTAGGCCTAAAGAGAGGGCTTTGGGTATGTAGGAAAAGTTAGAAAATTTCAACAGCCTCAGACCAATACTTTTTGAGTTATGTAAAAAAAACTACTGTGGGGATCAAATTGACCCCCCCCCCCCCCAGCAGGAATAGGGTTAATATTAGAAATGTATTTTAGAAAAGATAGACTAGTTCATACATTTAGTTAATATTAGAAATGTAATTCAGAAAAGATAGATATTTACTAGTTTTGCTGCTTTTACTGAATTTTAGACTTTAAAAATTACCGATCTTACAGTTCATTAACATCACTTAATTGTTGACTGTTTAATGGCAAAAGTACGATTATAGCATTATTCAAAACTTTAATTGAAGTTTTGCTTAATTTCTCTAAACGTCTAACAAACCCTGATAAATAACGATTAATGACCATTAAATGCAATAGTTCTTGCTCTCAGCTGATTTGCATGCAGAACATGTTTCGGTGGTAAATCAATCAGTTTATCTGTAAAAATATAGCTGACATGACCTCGTTCATGTAAATTCTCAATATATTTAAAGTCAAGGAGAAGAAGGTGGGAGGAGGGGGGGGGGTGACAAATTTTCTATATTTTTGATTGAATAGTGATATATTTAAATTTCAAATATTAAAAAAAATCTTGAACATCGTATAGAGGGTTTTAAATCTATGTAAATTGAGAGTTTACAAAAAAGGAGAAGCATACTGGAGCAGAATTGAATTCTGAATTTTTAATTGATGTCTCTGCAATGATCTCGGTCTACAGGAGAAACCCAAAATTATATTTTTGCAAATAAAGATTATGATGTATTGCCTTTAATCGGCACTTAAAGGGAGTGTTCGCGAAAAAAAGAAGGTGGTATAGGATGATATCGAATTGAATTCAATATCGCTCGCAACTAATTTTACCATTATCGTATATATAGAGAAAACGGTTAAAACGTCTTATACCAAATAGCGTATAAAGCAAATAAATTCAATTCAATGAATTAGATCATATGTTGCTATTTCATAATATCTTTTTAGTTTTTTTTTATATACGATGTACTTTTTATGACGATTTTTTGGCCGCTAGGTGAGATACCTGAAATATCCGTAATTTAAAGCAAAACTGTTTTCAAATACGGCCTCTACATGGAAATCCATTATGAGTAAATCAAGTTAACCCCCCCCCCCCTTAGAGTTATAGAGACTGTAAACATAATTTCAAGTCCTTCATTAAATTGAATTCATTAAATCGAAAATTAATTATTTTCAATTGTGTGTTCTCTCGCTTCGGGAAGAATTGAGAAAAATTATAGAATTAAACCCTTTTCCAACTAGAAAGCGAGGATAGCTTCCAACTAATTGATCAGTTAATGAAAGGTTAAAAGGGAATAATCAAAAATTTGCGGATTTCATAATATTCTTTCGCGCATTTTCAAAATTAAATAATCTAAGTTAAAAAATTTTTAAGAATACATATTTAAAGTTTGATTGGCTATAAACCTTCCCTGGAGCCGCGTGAGGTCCCACACAAAATTTGGGCCTGTTTATTGGATTCAGACAAACAAGCAAACATATACCCAGACAAGCTAAAATTATATATAAAAAACCGCAAAACTTGTTTAATCTGACTTGAGAACCTGATACGAGTATAGGTAGGATGAAACTGAACTAATCAGCAAATATATCACGCTGGCATCAATCGGTCACTTTATAACACACAAACATTGACACTTGCGAACACACACTATTATCGTGCTCGAACAGGTTCAGCTTTAGCCAGAGAAAAGGCACACCTAAAAAACAACTAAAAATCTGTACAGCTAGAAAACATGTACAGCTAGAAAACATGAACAGCTAGAAAACATGAACAGCTAGAAAACATGTACAGCTAGAAAACATGTACAGCTAGAAAACATGAACAGCTAGAAAACATTTCCAGGTTCAACTATAGCTAAAGAAAAGGCACACCTAAAAACAGTTTAAAAACATGTACAGCGAAAAAGCATGTACAGCTAGAAAATATAAACAGCTAGAGAACATGCACAGGTTAAGCTATAGCTAGAAACTATAAAGAAAAGGCACAAACAGCTATTGTAAACATGTACAGCTAGAAAATACAAACAGCTAGAAAACATGTACAGCTAAAAACATGTACAGCTAGAAAATATGAACAGCTAGAAAACATGTACAGCTAGAAAACATGTACAGCTAGAAAACATGTACAGCTAGAAAACATGCACAGGTTCAACTATAGCAAGAGAAAAGGCACACCTAAAGAACAGCTAAAAAACATGTACAGCTAAAAACAAAGAGAATATAATTTATATTAGAGTGGAATTTACTAGATAAAAGTGTAAAACGGCCATTTTGTTGTACTGTTTCCATATTGCAGGTTTTCTTCACATATTTGTGCTATATAACCTTTTGGGCCCTGGAACATCATTTTAAAGAAAATCTAAAATTAATATTAAAAGAAAACCAAATCATGAAATAGGCTGGTTTCATAGTTGACCAATGATCATTTCACATAGAGTCTATGCCTTTCACTTTACAAACGATGATTTTCCGTTATAACTTTAAATCAAATGATGTTTTTTATTCACCTAATTAATTTTATAAAGTTTATTTAACAGCTTTAAAAGATTCGAAATTGAAATGGATAGTCTAGGGAACGTACTGTATTAATGTACTCTACTGCATTTAAGTTGTACACTTTGAACTCCCTTTTCAGACTGAAAGGGACTGACAAAATTCATACCGAGGGATCGCCTAAATTCCACTCTAATATATAGTCTATTCTCTTTGGTTAAATATCATTAATTGGAAGACGACATTTTAACATACTTTTACTTAAAAAACTTGAATCATATACTGGGCAATACAGGGTTACTAGAGAAGATCAAAATTTCTTGTAAATTAATATTTGAAGGTTAAAAGAGGTGGTTGGTCTTTGGGGATGGGTATTTGTTACGCTAATTTCTTTCCTAGTTTATTACAGAAATATTTTCGAAGGGCAAAGAAACTTAATATTCTTTGAATTACCACACTTTTGTCAAAAAATAAGAATTTTACGTTAAAAATAGCTGTAAAATTCGACAAATATGCCAACAAATATTTTGATTGAAATCATTATAGAATTTACCCTTGAAGTCAGTCTTACATTTCAATAACAAGATTAATTTTTGATTGAACTATAATCCCTACATCCATGAGCCCGTAAATCAATAAATCAAGTTCATCAAATTTATAAGTTTATTCTATATCGAAGAGAAATCGTTTATTGCGACGACTTTGATACCAGTTTCAATACATTTGTAAGCACTTTGTTTATTATATTAATGCTTCTTCTTCTTTCCTATTTCTTAGCAGAGTTATAGGGGAAGTACACAAAGTGAAAATGTCAAATCATAAATAAGATTATAGCGCGACGTCTAGCAGAAAAGCGCTTTTGCCAGACAACTTTTTATGGAATTAAAAACGTCGATTATTTTCTTATTCAATCGCACAAATTCTTATTTTTTTCGAAAATATAAAAAAGAAATGCACCTTTATTGCAAAATCAGAGACAGTACACTGCAGTACAAAAGTTGCGTACACCTCTGAAATAACTTTCCTTGCATTATAACCTTGCCATCGACGTACCTCTGTGAACGGTTGATCTTCAATCTTTAAATAAGGAAGAAAATTCTCGTCATAATTACTGCCATTTCAGGGAATTATACAATTGTTAAAGGCTTTTAATCTTACCACCCAACATTTCAAATAAAAACAACAAACCCACTGAAAAAAAAATTAAAAAAAATATCATTAACATATAAAAATGTTTTAATTCATTAAAAATCCAAGAATATCATATTTTTCTATTAGACATTTACAAAGTTTATTAAACTTAACGTAAATCGGGCATTGCGATTTTTGAATAAAGGGTCACTTGGAATTACGCTTACAGTCCCTTTAAGGTTTAATATCAATTGATTTTCATGTTAACTAGTAGTTTAACTTGGTTTAAACTTTCTTCATTAAATAACTAGTTGTAGACAAATAGAAACATCATAAAGAGACAGGAACTGTATACTGTACCAAATACAATAAGAACCTGAAAACTGTGGAATAGGAAGACGACAGTTTAGCAATCTTTAAGCGTATTTGATTTTGTTGCAAATCAAAAAGTTTTACACGTCAATTCATTATAAAGTTAACACTTCAGTTTTCAACTCACAGTTGCTGTGTCTCATAATCTTTTATTTTAAAGTTTTCACCTCACAGTTGCTGTGTCTCAAAATCTTTTATTTTAAAGTTAACTCTTCAGTTTTCACTTCACAGTTGCTGTGTCTCATAATCTTTTATTTTAAAGTTAACACTTCACAGTTGCTGTGTCTCATAATCTTTTATTTTAAAGTTAACACTTCAGTTTTCACTTCAAAGTTGCTGTGTCTCATAATCTTTTATTTTAAAGTTAACACTTCACAGTTGCTGTGTCTCATAATCTTTGGACTAAACAAAAGTCATGTCTGGAGTCTAAACATCGCCTTTTTATTCCAGAGTTTTCTAATTCTCACTAAATTTCACTTTATTTTACAGACTAGTTCACTTTAGTCTACCGACTAGTTCACTTTAATCTACCGACTAGTTCACTTTATTCTACCGACTAGTTCACTTTATTCTACCGACTAGTTCACTTTATTCTACCGACTAGTTCACTTTGTTCACTTTATTCTACCAACTAGTTCACTTTATTTAACCGACTAGTTTACTTTATTCTACCGACTAGTTCACTTTTATTTACCGACTAGTTCACTTTATTCTACCAACTAGTTCACTTTATTTAACCGACTAGTTTACTTTATATTACCGACTAGTTCACTTTTATTTACCGACTAGTTCACTTCATTTTACCGACCAGTTCACTTTATTTTACAGACTAGTTCACTTTGCATTGTACCCATTATAGTTAACTTCATTGTACTCAGTATTTCACTTTATTCTACCGACTAGTTCAACTTATTTTACCAACTAGTTCACTTTATTTTACCCATTATAGTACTCATTGTACTCAGTATTTTCCTTTATTTTACGGGACTAGTTCCCTTTGAATTGTACCAACTATAGTTTACTTCATTGTACTCAATAGTTCACTTTATTTTACCCGAGTGTTCATTTATATTCCAACTAATTCAGTTCATTGTATTATATAATTTTATTAATACAGAGCCGGCGATTTAAAAAATTCAAGAAAATACGACTCGGGTCTAAGCTGTTGTTGAGCCTTATTTACGGCTCGGGTTTTCAAATTTAAGTTGCATCTATTTGTCAACAGAATTTAGTTCATAAAACCGGTTTAATGTTGTATTTGGCGGATTTTCATAGTTGGAATTGGTGCATTCCGGGTTTTGATGAGAATAAGACCCAACATTGAGCCTTATTCTTCACTAAAACCAACCAAGGTCGGTTTTATTTTCATTGGGCTTAACTCCTTAAGTCGAGCCTAAGATCTCGCAGCTGTCAATCACGTGACACAAGCTGTCGTCAGAGTTGGGTCGAAGATTGGGTCTTAAAGCTGCGTTTAAGGAATTAAGACTCGAGCCGAAGTTTTTAAATCGCGGGCTCTGGTTAGATTGCACAGAAAACTTTAAGAATTGGAAGAAAACAATTGTATTCCTTTCATAGCCAATCAAAACTAAATTTAATCTATTTGTCAAATTGTTTTAGAGATATATGTTTTCTATAATATATCCGGTAAAAAGCTTTGAAACGTTTTTTTTCTCTAAATATTTGACTGACAAATCTGAGGGATGAAGTTTTAGTAAAATTGAAAATATATGTTAAATTTATGTAAATAAATAACATTCTAGTTCTCACTTGATGTACAACAATATATATATTTTGTAGACAATTATATCTTTTTCTATACAATAAAACTCTTTGCTCATATGTTAACATATTTACAATGATTCACCGACAAAGGGTCAAACGACCCAGGGTCAAACGACTCTTTGTCGGTGAATCTTTACAATATATTAGCTTTAGCTATATACTAGCTAGCCAAACGGCTGGACCAAATTGGCTGAAATTTTTTAAAGGAAACTTGGGGTAACAAAGGCTAAAATTACACGGGCAAGGCCTGGTACTTCTGCTGGTTATAAACATACGACAATATCATGTTTAAAGAAATAATTCTTTTAAGCATTATCCGAAAGTTTAAATGAAAATGTCTTGCTGCAGAACTATTGTGTAATTTCAGCTGTTAAAGAAAAAATGTCTTACACTTAGAATATATATATATATATTGTGAAGGAAAATGTCTTACATTACAGAATAGTGTTATTCTGCAGCTGTTGAAGGGAAAATATCTTACATTACAGAATACTGTTATTCTGCAGCTGTTGAAGAGAAAATATCTTACATTACAGAATAGTGTTATTCCAGCTGTTGAAGGAAAATGTTTTACATTACAGAATACTGTTATTCCAGCTGTTGAAGGGAAAATATCTTAAATTACAGAATAGTGTTATTTCAGCTGTTGAAGGAAAAATATCTTACATTACAGAATAGTGTTATTCCAGCTGTTGAAGGGAAAATATCTTACATTACAGAATAGTGTTATTCCAGCTGTTGAAGGGAAAATATCTTACATTACAGAATACTGTTATTCCAGCTGT